TCCAAATGCGGCTTGAAATCCGTATTTGAGTATCCATATGTAATGCTATGATAGCACCACCAAGATGATTTTTATTTATCACCCATGTAAAAAAAAAATTTATGATAATTGGACCTACAAACCCAAAAACCTACAAGTACATACTTGCTTACCAGCATATGAACCAGAAAATGCGAGTTCGAGAGTCAAGGATTATTTGTATGGAGTGGCGCCGATCTGCCGTACAAAATAGACATTTGCATTTTCTGGTTCATATGCTTGTAAGCAAGTACGTATAAACGCTGTACGCCGGGCAATCCTGATCTCCGGTGCATGCCCAAGCCAAGCGCAAGTAGGTACATCGTACCTATTCTACATATGCAGTATGTAGGTACATGTATGTACTCCAGTTGCATACTGTAGTTACCTCCGCTTGGGCATATGCTCTGGACCTGGACGACTAAGGCCTTACACAATCCGACACAAAGGTCTCAGCCAGTCCCGGCCTTTGTTTCGCCAACCTTGACCTTCAGATATTGGCTCCAGACACACGGGTATTATTATTGTTTGCACTTGTCCGGATCCGGGTCTGATTCCTTTGGACGACATCATCAGCATTGCCCGCTCCTTCACTCCCCACCAAGATGTGTTGGTGTTTTTCGGGAGCTTGTTCTTGACCACGTTTTTTTCTTCTTTTTTCTTTCTAGAAGCAGTGTCAGGGCCCCGTCCCCTGGGCTATGTGGGTTTTGGGTCAACTTGATTACTCAAGATGTAGGTACAATATGTACGTGCAGCAGGTTATGTAGTTATGATTAGATTATCATATGTATGTATATAAGCAGTGTGCATCTAGATTCTTTGGGGCTTTGTGCTATGATATCATATGGGATATCCGATATATCATATGCCATACGGCCCGGCCTGGATATAAGATAAGTAACAGAGAATTATTTCCCGGGGATGGATATATTATAGGGTAGGTCTACCATAAGGAAGGGTAGGGTCGAGGGATAGAGCAGAGCGGAGCGGAGCGGAGCACTAGGGGTTCCCTAATGGATTGGATAGATGGAAATAAATTAGCCAGTTACCTCGCGAGCCACTCCCGTTGGTTGGTCTGTTTAATTAATCAGATCTTTCCCATCCCCATATGTATATGTATGTATGTATTCCCATCTGTCCGTAGTTACGTGCTTATTTGTAAATCCCATTATTAGCTTAAGCAAAGGCTCGTTTACCGTGGTAACGACGCGCAGATCAGGGCCCTTCACACATGCCTAGGGCCATAATCCTTTCCAATTAGGGCGATAGTAAATGATGGAATCTGAAAGCTCTCCTATTGGAGTGCCAGCCGTCGAGCCGGTGGTTGATACAGATATGGAGGGGGTCGGTCAGCCAGAAAGCCATTTCATAAGCCATCACTCGGTCCGCAACCTTAATCTCCACCTTCCACACCACAACCACAACCGCAACCAGTGTTGCAAAATACTGAATTAATCGTTTTTTTGAAGACAATCCGAAGCATAGATAGGAAATAGTTAAGGGGTGTTGCCGTACGCTCGCGTTGAGGTTGCAAGCGTCTCGGCTAAAAATACTACCCGCCCAGCAGCGGCCCTTAAACCAGGGACTGGAGTATGGTACCTATTTTAGCAACCACGTCGGAAAAACTTGAAACTAAATGCGATGCAATGCACTCATAGGAGGGATCCTTACAGCGATCCTGAATTGGGTACATGAATATTCAGATATAGAGGCCGTAAACTGGTACGGGGTAATATATCTGCTCTGTAGCACGTCACATAAATCGTTTAGCTAGTACCTACATATAGTTACCTGTGTAAACAATGCCAAGGCATAAATCGAGAGGAACTTGTAGATAGGAGACATGAGCGATTAACAAAACGTACGATGGTAACACCGTATTCCTAAACCATTTTTCCTTTTGACAAATTTTTACGTTTCCTTGATGGAAAGCTTCCAGAACACGTGCTTATTGGCTCTGGTTCTCGATTTACAGATGGCATCCGGCGAGAGGTTGCGGGTTGTGTATCCCCATATGGAGCAGAGCACCGCCGTTCCCTTCTTGTGTCCTGAAGAAGTGGAAAGCGACAGAGAGCGCAATAGTACTCGTGAGTCGTGATCGGCTCGGAATGGAGCCACTTCGGGGGTGAAATTTCTTGCAAGGGTTCGGGAGACTCATCCGATGACGAATTTGGAGGAAAGAGTATTAGAACCAAATAAATGAAAGACACGGTCTCAAACGGAAATTTGGTGTAGTTTTGTTTTAGATGACAGCTTTTTGTGGAGGCGGCCATAGCCATGGCGACATTTTACTTTGTTTTTTCGGTTGCCTGCGTACGGCTCTACATATTATTGGTTGAGGATGGGTGCCTTTAATTGCCACGCGAAGTGCACTAGTGGCGTTTTATGTTTCTGGGGTTGTGGACGGGAGCGATGAAGATGGTAGGGCTATCTAGATACACACACGATAACGGTATGTTCCTGGCTGCCCTAGAAACAAACCGAGTATGGAGAGTTTATTAGTAGGGTACTAGTGGCCCAGGATCATTTTTCGATTAATTGCTTGGTAGGAGAATCCTGGGAGAGGAGGATTAGTACGAACACGTATCTCCGATGCTAGACTTTGCTTGGCTGGCTGGAGCATTTTGTTTGTACTCGTTGTTTATCTGAGGATAAAGTCCAGGTTAAACCTTCACAGGGGGCGGAATGGGCTTGAACAGGCGTTGTTTAGAGGACTTCTCTGGGTGACGATCCAACTAGCTGCCATCGACGCGCATCGTGACCTCTGGCGTATGATATTGGGAGTAACCTGCAGGGAACTCACGATAGAGATTTGTATAGGTGGCTTGCGATGCTATTCATGCCCTCATGATACCCCAGACCTTGTAGTACTAGGAGGGCGCGGGGGGTAGGTACAACTGGGCTACACCCAATACCGGCGTTCGTTGGCCATGGTTGAATGATGATGAGTGTTTTGGCTAACTCGGGTATGCTTACCTACATTATTGAACACACGATTCGTTTTCATTCTCATTCATTTGTGAGATCTCACCCCGCCTTGCTCTTGATATGTGAAGTTTCACTGATGTTTCGGGAAGGCGGGGTGAGAGAGGTGAGGAGGGAGCAGTGCCATGTACTCGAGGTTGAGGCTGAGGTTGATCCATCAAGAAAATAGTCTGCTGCAAGATGGGAGTGCAGGGGAATGATCCACACATCTTTCTGCAGTCATACTCGCTTATTTTCTTCCTTTCCCTCTGCTCTGACCTCAAATGTTTGTCCGGTCCAAGTGCCTGGTTGGCTGGACAGCCGGATCGACTGGTATTCGCCTTCAAGAGTGAGGGGAGAGGATATATCAAAATGTCAGAGCGGTTCAAACCTTTTGACTGGTTTCTTGACACGGTCCTCTAAACAGTAGAGGATAAGCCTCTAGGAGCAAAGTATTTGAGACCTCCGAAAGAGAATGTAGCTCAACGCTAAGAAGAGGCCCTGTGAAGTTCGGACCTTATTCCTTGGATCTGTATGTAGTGATAGTATGTACATACAGTCGCAACTCGATACGCCGGATTGCCAAGATTCGAAAGATTTCATACGGGATAGCAAAAAAAATCCGGGATAGCAAATTGATTTTGCAGTAAAAAAAACCAAAACCCCAGAGGATTTCGTACGGGATAGCAAGGGATCCGGCGTATTGAGGTCCGGCATATCGAGTTGCGACTGTAGTGGTGGAAGAGGTGGTAGAGGAAGTTGATCAAGGTAGGGATCGACAATCAGCTTTCCTCCGATGGTGTCCCGACGTAGTAGGGAGCTACTCTGTCGTTTGTCGGTCAGGTAGGCAAAGTATACACATATAGTAATCTTCCTCACCCAATATGATATCACCGCACACAAACACATTTACCTACATGTATCCAAAGTAGATACATGTATTATAATTATGTACTACACAAGCGCCCGTATTAACGTTCTCATCCGAGTCAACTTTGCCTTGGATTTAGTGCCCTTGACACACCATTCTCCGGTGAGAGACTGGATAGAAAGCGACAGGTGATTCTAATTACGGCAATTATATCATCTTAAATCGCGTTGTATTCATAATTTATTTTGCTTTCGAGTTGAAGGACTTAACTGCATACAAGTGGAGAGTAACCAGGAGGTACCACTTATAGGTGTGTGCCGTGTAGGTACATATTAATTGCGAATAGACGCCAGCAAGAAGACCCTAAACATGGAAGGGGGCAGAGCTAGAGCTAGAGATGTAAAGGATGAAGCTGAAGAGGGACGGTTGGGAATTTAGTTTGGTCTACATGTAGGTACTCTACCACCCCTCGTACCCTACCTTGTAACTCGAGTAGCTGCCGCTGCCCGTTGTGTGTAGCATGATGCCTACATGTATCTACGGTGGTACCTGCACCTGCACCACCTCATGCCTCCCTCACCTTGTATTCAAAACTTCCTTGTTCTCTCAACCCCTCCAACCACACTACGAGTCCCTATCCATCATCAGGAACTAAGACCAAGTCATGACGATCTGACCCCGATTATTCTACTACTCATAAACAAACCAGCCTCCCCTCCTACCCACCTCTCAGATCTCTCTCTCTCGAATCCGACTCACGTTGTTAAAACCACCACATTCATTTTTCTTTTGCTGTTCCATATCACCGCCGCATTATTACAATAATAGAACAACCGTCCCCACACAACTACTACTACTAATAGGCGCCCATCTTCCTGCCCTTAATTACTACGCCGTACGTACTGAAAGATTTCCCTTACCTACCTACACAGCTGGTTTCATCTTCATCAGTAATTCTCAGCCTCATATCAACTTTTTATAATTTCCCTGTTCAACTATAACTACTAGTTCATGGTACGTTCTGTTATTGGGATACTCGCATGCTGTGCATCGTTACTGAGCTGACTTGTATCTTACAGCTGCAAGTGTTACATACTACAGCAATACTAGTCTCATAACCTTAATATTATCTACGACAAATTACAAAATGCAATACGATTCACAACAAGATCATGAAGAGGGATTCATCGTCACTCTCGAAGGCCACCAACCCACAATCTCAGAACAGCTACGATTGCTTCCATTCTCATCAAATATCCTATGTCTGCCTCCAATTACACTTCCCCCAGCGCCGCCCACGAGGGAAAAAAATGACCCAGAAGAGCAGCTACCGCCGTTAGACCCGGCTGTACGGTCATATATCCTTTCACTCCACCATGCACATATTGAGAGGTTAGAGAAGGCAAGATCTTTCTTGGCGGAAAGCAGTAATGGTGGAGACAGGATGGTCTTTCTCAATGGTGGGTTTGCGGGCGCTCAGGCAGCGTGCTTGGAGACCCTGCGCGACGCACTCATGTCGGAGGAAAACGGCAACATTGAAAATGCTAGTAGAGAGGCTGAGTGGGTGTTTGAAGACATCATGCAGGGTGGTGTGCAGGGCCTGCAGGAACAGGAGCTCGAGCACCAGCAGGGATATTCTAATGGGGATCCTGAAGAGCAACTTGTCAAACCAGCACAACGGGATAATTTCGAAAGGGAATTGTATCCTCAACAACTAGAAACCGTTGCTACTCCCAAAATTTTAAAAATGGGAAGATCACGCGAGATGTCGAGGCCGAGGGTTGTTAGTTCCGGTCCGAGGAGTCCGACGCCTGAGGAAATAGAGGCCGGGATTGAGATTTGCAAGGCTTCAGTGGCAGTCCGTGTACGGAGCAGGAGTAACACTGCTGCCACTCATGTATCTGGTCTCTCACCGCCGCCTTCACCGCCAACTGTTAAGGCGGAATTTCATTTGGGCAACTTTGCAAACAGCGAATCGATCAGGAAGCGATCCGAGTCCCTGACCGAATCCCTAAGGGCAAAGGGATCAAGGAGAAAGGATAGGGATGAGAACTATACCCTTCCACCGATTGAGTCCATGTACTCTATGGAGATTCCAACCCCTCCTTCAAGCGCAAAGGCCCTTGCATCAAACCCTAAAGTATCTCAATTCCCAGCATTCTCGGATGATGACTTTCAATCACCCCCAGACTTGAAGAGACCGGGGTCCCGTGATTCAGCACGTCCTTCTTCTCCCACACCCAGCTCAACAGCTGATATCAGCGGTGCTACAATTCTCCCCTCACCAAGATACCTCAGTGGTGGCTTCGATGTATTTCAGGAGCTTTCTAGAGATCCTGTAGACCCGCTGTTCCCACCTATCAACGAAAACCTAGTAATCTACTTTCCCTCGCCGGAGGGTAAAAGAGAGAATGGCGATCAGTTCCTTGAAAAGGTTCTTGGAGACTTCGCCGTCTCCTTCACGCCCCAAACCCCTGGGGTTTTTCGCGCAAACCCGCAGATGCTTTTGATTAAGCGCAACAATGAGACCCAGAAGCGTTATCTCTCGCCCATGACAGCACTATCTGGTCAATTGGGAAATGCCCGTGGAAGGGAATCATTCCAATCCTCCATGTCAGGTGGTTCGACCGCTACAAACGCGGCCCCATACTCGGTGCGCTCGTCATTACTTGCAAACGGACACCAGGAGCCTCCACTAGCAAGTCTCCCAACTGTCATTTCAAGCGCCGAGAAATCACCAGCAGAAATCCAAAATGAGCTGCGTGCTATAATGAGGCATCATTTCCCACCACCTCCTTCCCCTTCGGTGAGCAATAGGGACAAGCTTTCAACATCCGAGGACGAGGATGAGGAGGATGAAGAGGACTTACGTTGGCTCACTGGTGATGAGGAGATTGAGCAGATTTGGCGCCCAGTTCTGAGTTCCCGAGATAACGAGTCTGCTTACTCTGGCCTTGATCTTATTATTGCCGTCGGGGTTGAAGAAGATGGTGATCTTACAGAGTCTAGGAAGGGGGTTGAGCTTCGAAAACGTTTTGTGGAGCAGATTGAAGAAATTGCACGTAAGAAGGGGTCCTCGTGGAACTACGGGAATAAGGTTGGATTGAAATACCTTCTCTCGTCGTCACTCACAAAGGTACGAGCCCAGCACAAGTCTGCAAAGGACAGTCTTGTTGTTAAGGGTAAATATTTGCTGCCGGAATTGGAACACTACATTTCACACAACGCCCAAATTCGAATCCTAGTTATCGAATTCGACTTCTACACCGGCTCTCCTGCTATTCTAGAACTTAAGCGTGTTCTTGGACCTGAATTAAATCTCCTCAAAGTCGCATGTGTCGCCGACGGGGTCACCCAGATCTCGTCTAAACCTATGAAATCCTCCAAATCCCCGAAAGTCGGTATTAGAATCAGGACTTCGGTAAACGCTACCACAATTTCTTACTCTCTCGGCCCGGGAACCCCAACCACACCCAATGGTTCACTCAAAGTTCCGAGGAAACCAACGCCAACGGGAAAGCGCCCTCATATACCGAAGCGAAGTCTTATCTCAGGTGCAGACATGCTCATCCCACCTTTCACGACCACTTCTAGTGCTGTGTTTATTGATGTTGTTGAGGCAATTCACACTGCGCTAAAGGCCAGGGAGAAGATGACCGGGTGCTATGGAAGGAATCAAGACGCAGATACTCCCCCTATGCCCGGCCTCACTAGGATGAAGACTCCGTCGTCGGACTCGCAACAACTCAGCAGGCAGGATACTAGCTATTATCTTGAGGAAGAGACAGATGAAGAGGAGAACTACGACGGGAAGAGGGCTAACTTCCGAAAGAGGGTGAAGAACGGAAGTAAGGCGTTGAAGTGGCTTGGGTTGGAGTAGAGAATATCTCTCTTTCTGATTCGTTTATTCTCTCAATATTTTTCAATCCTTATTTAAATTCACTAGTATATAATTACAGTTACTTACGGCTTGGTGCCACTGCGTTCGGCTCTTTTCTTTTGTCACTGGTTTTTTGGTTTTGGCTGGGTTTGGTTGGGTCAGGCGCTATCTATTTTCACTCTTTTCTTTACGTACTGTTATCATGGACTCGATTCATACACCTTCATTCAATTTCATTATCTTTCTTGACCTTTACTTTGCTATCATTTACTTTTGTTCTAGCACACTCAACTAGGGTTTGGGAATTTGGAAGGAGTTTCTATATTTATACTATCTGGTCTGGTTTGGAGGTGGGTATCCGGTTTGGGTTTGGTTTTTTTCTTTTTTGCTCTTGTTAGTCAACTAGCTATAGGATATTGAATTCCTAGTTTGATATCCGATTCTCATGGCCTGGGGCGATATAAGTGAAATTGGGGAAGAAATGCCAATTATTTGAATTATCCATGTGCCAGGAAACCGTTTTGCAGAGTGAGTGATCGGTGGGTAGTTGATTATGAAGTGGCTACATTAAATCATTATTTATCACTCGTAAAATCTTTTTTTTCGTCTGCAGTAATTATGTACGTACAAAGCACAGTTCTAGAGATATAGTCTACGTCCGTAGAAACATTAATTCCGTTCAACAATTGCCAACATACGCGCGTAATGTGATGTATATAGCGCTTTAATCAATCCACCAAACTCTCAATATCACGCAACTTCGGAACCAGGTCCTCCGGCTACCACTCAGGGTCAAGTCGATCAGAGCATTCCCCCTATTCACCACTTCTGAAACCCGTGTCTACCCATAACCGCGATACCCGCCACTATAGCCTCTAAAACATGATCGATGTCTTGATATGTCATGTCCCGGGATAGTCAAAAGCCTCTACCGTAAGGAGATCTTGGGCCATCAGTACCCGACCTCCCCGATATCTCCCCGTATGAGGTCCATGCTTTAACTTGGGGACATGTTCTGATCTTCCCGACCCGTGTCTTGGTGGCCTGCCGTTGTACCTTCTTCGAGGCTATGCGCATAATTTATAGTTGAGGGCACGGGCATGGGTGAGGCCGCAGTGTAAATGCGGTTTGCCACCGGCCGGGTCGAGCACGGCTTTTGTGGCAAACTTGGAGATGTTTGGGGTAGGCTGTCTGAGTACTAGCTATAGTCGACGATGGGACTTTGGCGGCTTGGTCTAGAGCTGAGGCGATGAGACGCGAGGTTCGTGGAGAAGACATGTCGACATTGGGGTTGCATAGCAGTGCTTAGGTGATGTGGTTGGTAGACGTTGTGTCTATCGCTAGAGGAGTTTCATGTTATGTCTAATTAATCTATGGTCATACATATTAAAATTGTAGGAGTGATCAAGCCTATAGATCTAGACCGATAGTGTGTATACAATAAGGCTATCTAGAGGTACAAGTAACCAGTATATAGTGAATCTCTGGGTTTGCGTGATCACAATCGGACCATGGTTTCTGTATTAGATTTCTTTTGTCCCTTCACTGACCGTGTTCTCAATACCTCATATTCTCTTTAATAATAGGGGGAAATGTTCCTGAATAATATACAATGAAAGAGTTTTTTGTTAAGCCTTCCAGTACGCGTTACTCTCAGATTGTGCCTTTTTAAGCGATACATTTCTCGAGAGTGAGTACAGGCGATCATAACATATCACTCGTTCTGAAATATAATCTTTCGAACAGAGCTTTTAATTAATCACTTATGGTTATTTAAGATCTTTCTTTTATTTGAAGATCTTTATTATAGGGACATGATCAGCTGCATGTAGGTTAGTGGGTGGTGTAGTGTATTTATATCAATATAGATAGGATCAGCCGATCAAACGTTTTTATTGGACTGCTGCTAGCTGCTCTCATCCGGCCTGAGGAGTTTTAAGGGTTCAAAAGTAGTATAATTGTAAACGTAAGATAAGATTGATTATATAATTTTCTCTAGTAACAGAGGCATATTATCTTTCTTTTCTTTTTGTTCTTTTACAAATATAAGTTTCTATATAATTACATGACGTACCCCGAGAGAACGACAATTAAAGATCATAATATATCACTCGGGCGTGCAGAAACACACTGGGATCATAAGCAGCACAGAACGATATATAGTTGTACTTTCAGGGTGGATATATCTTCGAACAATATGTAACTGTTCAGAAAGCGATGGAATCCTTGTTATTAAGGAGGATTCTATCTCTTTAATTTCTTACACTACTTCCCGAGCTACCCTATCTTATTCATTTATAGCGTAGATCTCATATAATAGAAGTATAGGGTAGGGAACTCCTAGTAGCAGGATTAAATGTCGGTCACTTTGCCACGCCCCGGATTGGGGAGCTTGGATCAAGATTTTATTTTTGGGTAGGCCTTGAGCCCTAGGTCCATGTATAGAGCTAGAGAGCTACTGTACTAGTTGAATCGTAAGAAATGATTTGAGTCGCTAGTCAGATTTTCCTCTTGGTTGGAGATAGTTGGCTACTCAGGAGACTTGCTAGAGCGCTCTGGGATTGAATGGACACGTAGGAAGAGCGCGAGAGGAAGGCATAATTCACATGTACGTCTTTACTTCACGATGCTAAGCAGCTTGGATACTATCCCGGGGTGATGACGATGATGGAGAGGTGCTTATATGTGATGTATAAATTCGAATAAACCCCGAACCGTATATATATAAAAGAGAGAACTACAGTGAAGTTACGAAACCCAACCGGCCCCGCTGAGAACTTAAAGCATAGCCTTCGGAAACTTTCTCATCGCCTGCCTGACCGCCAGATCACCCAAAATCTCTTCCGACCCTCCTAATATCGCGTCGAACTTGTAGGTTCTATTGAATGACTCGATAACTCTACCCATACCACTTTTAGTGATGCCTCTGCCTCCAAAGATTTGTACACTCTCGTCGGCAATCTCGTGTGCTGCCCTTGTTGCAAATGTTTTGAGTAGTGCAATGGGGCCGGCGAGGGAGATGGATTGTTGAGCGTAGCTCATATTACACATTTGGAAAGTTAGGGACTCGAGCCATGATTGAGAGGACTCAACGAGAGCTATCATTTTTGCTAGCCTAGGGAATGTTAGTGCTGAGTATATAACATAAGGGAAAGATAGCGTTGTATACTTATTACGGATGACAGCCTGGTCGATGAGGCGTTTGTTGAAAACTGTGCGTTGATTTGTCCATTTTAGACATTCCTCTACAACAACACGGCAACTTCGGATGACGGCGCAACACATGACCCAGCGTTCGTGGTTGAAGTTGGACATTATGACGGGGAAGCCTTGGTGCTCCTTCCCTAGCAGGTGGTTCACTGGGACACGGACATTATCAAACGTGATGAATGCGGTTCCGGCGGCTGAGGAATATGATGTTTTGATTTGCTGATGTGTATTTTAGTTGAAGGCTTCATTTAATTATTCCAGTAGTCATGATGGATAACATACCTCGGTTTCGACGCCCTCACCTCTTTCAATGAGTAGGACACTATAGCCCTTCTCAGTCTTGACAGCAGTTGTGAAGTAATCTGCCCAGACACCATTCGTAATCCATTTCTTGGTTCCATTTACGATATAGAACTTTCCACAATCCGACTTTACAGCCGTGGTTCTGATACCAGCAACATCCGAGCCAGCAAAAGCTTCAGAGATAGCTAAACAAATAGCTTTCTCACCCGAAAAACATTCCCGGGCAACTCTCTCGCGGAGAGCAGGGTCGTTACAGAAATTAAGAACAGGCGGAAGACCGATAACCATACCGCCGAGGAAGCCGTCGTTACAGGCACGGCCATGAGTTTTCGAGAGCTCCTGGGTGAGGACTAGTTCGTGAAAGTAATCAAACTCTTCTGGAGTGACTATGCCGCCCATGAGAGTGTGGCCTTTAAGGTGCTTTCCTGGCCCAAGACGCATAGGATTCATTCCATTCTCCCTAAGAGATTTTATTAAACTTGATGGAATGGAACACAGATCTTGTGTGTACTTACCACATCAACTTGATGATCTCTTTGCTGGGCCTCTCGCCGGATTCTTCGATACGAAGAGCTTCGGGTCGAAGATGCTCATCTACAAAGATTCGGGCTGCTTTGCGAAGCTTACGGTGACTCTCTTTGTAGTATGGACTACTGAATTCCGGCACAAGCCACTAGAGTCCTTGTTAGCGATAACGCTTGAAGAAAGTTCCCTGGAAGGCCACCAAGACATACCTGAGGTTCCGAATAAGGAACAGGCGACAAGTCTCCCGGCCCTATGGTCAACACCTGCGGTGTTTCCCCAGCAATAGTACCCACACATAACTTCTCATATTTCAAGAGCACCTCATGACGATGCATCTGGAAGAACTCGGCGGTAGCATCTTTCCCAGCTACTTGAAGCAGCACATGTGCACCACCGGGATGGGCGTCCGCGAAGGAGGTCAGGTCGTAGACCTTCGAATCTATTATAATAAAGAGCGAGTCGACGGTGTTGTTACTTGCGACCTCATCGCGGGTGAATGTTGTGGGAGTAGCTGTGACCATATTTTGAGATTGTGGAGTTTGTAGAGCAACGGATGAAGGGAGAGGGGGAGGAGGGGGGTGAAGAGAATATATATACGTACACCAAACTTAAGCTGTGGAATGTGGGGAAGTTGATGGGTGCGTTGCGAGGGCTGAGCTGCTTTTGTTTAACATTTGCATGTGCTTCTTAGTTCAGGACTCTGGGTTGTTGTTGGCTGCACGTGCCAGGACAACACGAAGGTTTCACCGAGAGCCGAAGAGCCGCAAAGGGTCCGGTCTCATACAACGCACGTGAAAAGGATTGAAGTCAGTTGGAGTTTTTGGTGAATAGATATCTGTCGCTTGACTGCTTGACTACATGTAGAGTATGGCGTTCAGTCATCAAGAAACTAGAGTACTGCATATATGTGGGGTAATTTGGTGCACGTGTTTATCGTAGGCATACCTACATGTAGTTTAACTAGAGGTTGGCCCAGTGTTACCACCGCGAAGAAATTAACATTTTTAACCTGGTACCGCGCCGTGTCAGCTTGGGAAATGGGCCGAAATTTTTGTTATGAACGTATTTTGTCGTGAACTAATTTGGTTTTGATTAGGCATAGATCTGACGCAGTACAATACGTTACAGGCCACAATGATAGATCATATATATATAGTTTACGTTCTTTCCCTTCATTTATATAGAGAGTATGCTGTGGGTAATGTTCGTTTTTTTGGACACACGCTGAATCAACGGTCTAGCCTCTAGTGCTAGTACTAGATTTTCTTTGTGGGGATTTACTAGCTATGTCATATGCATATCTCCAATGTAATTTTTTCTTCAGCGAACTCCGGGACATACATTACGATACATGTAGTTCCCTTACTTGAATATCGAAATTTCTTCCTTTCTTCCAGTAAGCTACATGTAGTTCTGGCTAATTACTACCCGTTATTTGCGAAATTATTTCGTCACGACCCTTAATTTATATTTAGGAGATATGTATTAATTGTAATGATGCTTGCAACTGGAAGCCGAGAAAACAATGCCCCTCATGATTGAGCACAAATACTACGCCTCCTTTAATTTCAGATAGACTCTAACATGCATCTCGGGCCAGTTAGAAGGGTTTGATCGGCCTTGATAGCAAAACTGAACGTTGACCGGTTCTGGATAGTAACAATGTGCATGTGTGGCGTTTTTATTGATCGGTTGCCCCGAGTCCATAATTGATTATATCTGATAGATTCTAGATCTAATAACTTCTGATATGTTGTCTCGAGCTCCACTTTCAATAAAAGTACATGCAGACATGGTTCGAGTAATTCGCTCGCATGGATTTGCGCGGGAACTGGGAATAAACCAGCCATTAGAAAACTTGCTGCCCAGTTTTTCTACCTAGTTCTAGATTGGTTTTCTTCATTATGTGGGCGGATATATTGGTCTCACAATCTATCACTCGTTTATGAGGTCACGTCGGCCTACATGTACCTACAGTAGGTACGTTTATCTTACGACATGTACATATGCTTGACTTACTATCACCCGGATCCTATCGATAGGCATGTTCAGGTAAGCCTCACCTGTGCTGAAGCCTGAGGATACGGTATATATGTCGTTTGTCCTTAGAGATTAAAATATTTAGCTGGTACCTAGATTAGTACCAAGTATCCTATAACCAGGATTTGAGGAGGGGAGCAGGGCGCCAGGGTCGGCTGTTTTAGCGAGGCTAAATCTTGTTTCGCCTTGCAAATGTCCCCGCACTCCACTCTTCTTTTTACTTGTGATTTTTCAGCTCCATGGGATAGAAGTCGTGGCAGTCTGGGAACGTAGACAGGTGCCAAGATATGGTTTTCTTCCATGCACGAAGCGGCACCTCATCGAGCGAGCTGAGACATCTACAACCCTAATTCGTGAAAATCTTTCCGTTCCTAATCTGATAGGATGTTTGCTCCTAGACTGACTATAAGAACATCCCTTCCCAAGCCAGTATTTTTTGATTGCATACTGGTACGTGAAGCCCAACCTGCTAGACAACCAAAGTAATAACAATTATGATCAGCCGAGAGTGGCATAATTTGATTTGCGATGAATGAAGGATGTAGAGTACCACCTACACACATCATGTGTACTCTGGGCGCTCTACTCTAGCATGTACGCTACCCATACATGGTACTCTACATACAATATTGTACTATACCACTCTATGTCTAAGGTATGGTCTCTACAGGTCATAATGCTCAGGATAGGCTCGATATCCGTCCCCCCAGGTTTCACGCTCTGTCCTACCTTACATACCGAGTTTTCTCAATAACGTGGCATAAGAGAAAGTGTGATTGCCGATCAGGTTAAGGTTTTTGGCGCTACATTTGTCTGGGACAACTAGGTCAGATCTAGTTAGAGGATGTGTAGAGTACATAGAGTACATCATGTAGGTACATACATCATACATGTCTCTACTCTCTGTGCGCGCACTTCATTATTCATCCTCAAGAGTGCAGCAAGTCACAAAACTCACCAAAAACCAACCCCTTCGATGATGTCCTGCGGTTCGGACATAGTCGTATAATATTCGGCCAACGAATACCTTGAAACGCATTGTTTACTTTAGAAGGAAATTGATCTACTTGGACATTGACACCTACCGCTGGCAATATGTTGTCGGCTGTTACACATTTGTCTGCACCCTATAAAATCTCCACACTAGACACATCAGATACCCTGTATCTTGGCGTTGTAGAGATTTCTGGAGGGGTTGCCGGATAGTTGTTGTCACTACATACTTTTCGTGAGAGTAAAGTGAACACACGAATTTTATGTATCATCGCTAATTTTCATGGGCTCGCTAGAATGGAAAATCTGTTTCATATCAGCTGGAAGATCTCTAAAGTGAATGGGGATCTACAAGATCATTGGAGTAGTTAATTGAGCGCAGATAGCCAAATGTTGCGGAAACCAGGTGGGTAAATAGAGTGATATACTACCTTTTAAATTTCTAGTAGTACAAGGCCAAGAGCTGTCATTTATACGCCAAGAGTATTCAGGTTATTCGAACAGTACCTACATACATACGTATATACATAAGTTTTAATCTTATTTTCGGGTTTGTGTGAGATTTGTCTCACCGCGAAGTAAGTCTTCTTCCAATACTACACTTACATACCTGACGTTTAGATAAACCTCAGAAAAAAATATTGAAGTAGGAAAAATCGGCGAGTCGAGGGTTTGACCAAAATCATCAGGAAACAACACTTTTATACTGACTCTGTGTAGATTCAGGGAGTTCGATCGCGTATTGGACCAACTAGTCAAACAAGGGATGGTATATAGAGACACATTTCCTTGGCTTTAGTCAAGTAAAACCGTGAGGGGACGCTGCGCGTGTTACATTCGCACACACGTGTCGATTACACTCAGTGCTTGATTTTGAGATAAGGTTGACAATAGTAAGGGACACAGGACTTCAAGGTGCCTCGACGGGTATCTAGATAACTAATTGGAGATATGGCACCAAAAAACCGCTATGCTCGAGTGCTCACTAGCTACCATTGAAATATTACATAGAAGGTATCTCGGTATGGTACTAAACTTTAAGTGGGGCGATCCCTGTCTGCATTGAAGGTCAACGCAGGAATATGTTTTACTCCCATCACACGCTTCCAGTCCGTTTGGCCCATGCATCCCTATCTGTCCCTGTTTCCGAATCACGTATCAACACATGTGCAGAATTGGATGAGCAAGGCATGTTATGAAGGTAGAAGAGGGAGAAGCGCATGCAGGAATTCAAAGTTGCCTTTACCGCCCTACTATTGGATGGTTCGATAACTGGATCTTTCGCATGACGATGGAAGCTCCTTGGTAGTCCACTAGGTATGCATGTCCGGGAAGATCCGAGCTGTCTTTTAAAGAGGCGCAATTGTCCTGGTGTATTTCAAAGGGAATTCACCCCCCCAAAGTACCATTTTAGACTTAATATTTCAACGAAAAGAACTTCTGCACCTACTGTTTCAATAAACACTTAAACGGCCCACGAGGGATGGACTCTCATACTATGGGTCGAACTCTTGTCGAGATAGGCTTCGACGGGTTTGAAGCAAAGGAGAAGACCACTTGGATACACAACAAAGGTGTTAGGGATGTTTTAGAGGAACATCTTGATAGATTCCCGCCATTTGATGTATGTTTTTAACCATAGGTTTCTTGGGGCTTTTTTCCTAACATTGGGGGACAGAGACATATTCGCTCAAGACTATTCTCGTATATTTCACCAAATGTTATCACGTACTCGCTGATATCGCATTCTGATTATTTCTGTTAGATACGGTCCAGACCTTGAACACGATCAAAAATTAGTGCTTTCAAAAAGTTTTGATTTTCATGGATTTGGCAATTTTCCTAAGATCTTTGATCATCTAAAATCTGGTTCGACCATTGATTACGAGACTGTTTTCAGAAGACATAACTGTCAGTGTTTAAGATGTTCCAAGGATATACCTACACCTTGCGGTGAGATACCCCTTACTCTCCTTTAATGAATAATTTTCTAAATACCAATGGTGAAGGGCGGGTGCTTTTGGATGTTACTTTGGGCTACTTCGTGCAGGAACCCACTAAGGCAGGTAAGTCCAGAATATTGCAACACTGGAATAAGGCATGAGATTCTTGTTTGATCAAGGCCCCGATTGATTGCAAGGGTTTTTAACGTTGGTGATGTTTAGATTATGATGATGAGGTCACTTCTGGCGCAGAGTCAGGTTCGAAAACAATAAAACCACTCAAGAGAGAGTTCTCATTTGCTGGTGATAAAATTCACTTTCCGGGGTAAGTGGGTCAGAAATCTCTGCTCTTCTATATTTAGTTTGCAATTAACACTGTTTTAAAGATCTGGGGAATTCGAAATGGCCTTGATAAATCTTCGGATGGTATGTTATCAAGACTCACAAGGAGTTGGACGCTTAGAAACGTTTCGTTTTGGACCAGCAAAACAACCCGAAGTGCATCAAACGCCTATGGCCTACGTGATGTCGGAGGTAAAGTTGTTAGATACAAATTGGAACGAGATCATCCGTAAATGCAGGCGGATCTTGTCAGGGCTGGTGAGTTGGAGATCAACAAATTTCTTTTCCAAAATAACCGGACCGAAGAGTTGCTGATAATGGTTTATAAAGAATCGGGGGGTGTTAGAGGATGACAAATTTCAGGATAGAAAGCTAGTTCGGAAAATGGTTAAATATGCCAAAACTTTTGAGCAGCTCCATAGAGTCTACCAACAACAATCGGAGGCATTGCATGATATGATTTCAAACTTTTCAGAGAATGAAATTTGGTTCGACATCAATAGGCCTCCTACGGAGCCCAACCCCCCAGAAGTCAACAAGGAAATCAATCGCGAAAACCCACAGATTTTACTATATCCGATTTCTCTTCTCTAAGCCCTCCTACATTAACTGAGCAACAGCATCCGCAACAGCCACGAAAAAAGCTCAAACAGATCAAGGATATGGAGAAGATCCTGTTCAAGTTCGACAAGATTGGAAAGACCATCGAAGACCAACTCCTCAGAGAGACACGGGATCTTATCGAAAGAGTAATTTATATAAGATCCTCTATTCTTCTCGAATACTGACGTAGGATGCTTAGACGCATAATATTATATCCATAGACGAGGCCTATAGGTCAAGAGATATGAACGAAAGTGTCAAAAGATTGAGTTGGATAACTGTGGGTCCTAGCTATCCATATATCTGAATGAGGCTGATCTAACAAGTATCGATTCAAGTTTATATTCCTACCACTCTTATTTGTTGCGGTAAGCTCTCATTTCTTATGCAAGGAGATATCCCTTTAATACATACTTACAATTTTACAGAGTTTGTTCGGAATGAACATCAACATATTGGAAAATAACCCAGGGTGGTTCTATTATCTAGAAATTGCGATACCGATGTTTTTTTCCATCATGGTTGCAGTTGCGTTCTTGAAGCATTGGAAAAGCTTACGGGACCCACAAACCTGGCGCAACTTTTTGATAACCCGCAAAAAAGTCAATAAAATGATTGCTCCTGTAATGGCTGTCCGAAAAAGTATATTTGTCCGAGAGAAAGCGTATGACTTGGAGCAAGGATTTACGAATGGGAGAGATGAACAATTGATTGCCGCAATTGATGCCGGTGATGGGGAAAGAGTAAAGGAGTTGCTGACTCGTCCTAAACAAAATACAAATATGCCAGTTCGGGCATTAGTACGAGGACACTGTGAGGGTGCAGAGCGATTCATCGAACACCGAGATAGTACCACGGCATCGACAACCGGACGGACACCTCTACAAGCAGCGGCAGCAAGCGGTAGTGTAGGAACTGTTACCCGCTTACTCGAGCGTAAACAAGATGTCAACGCGCCACCAGCAAATAACGAAGGTCGTACGGCCCTACAAGCGGCGGCAGAGAAAGGACATCTAAACGTTGTTGTGCTACTTATACAGTACAGGGCCAATGTAAATGCGGCAGCAGGGATGGTTGGTGGACGAACCGCTTTACAAGGGGCAGCAGGGGGAGGACATTTGGAGATAGTTGAAACCTTACTTAAGTTTGGGGCGGAGTGCAACATAGCTCCCGCAGAGTTCAATGGGCGAACCGCATTACAAGCCGCAGCAGAGAATGGGTGGGTTGATATTGCTAGGAAACTCGTTGATTCGGGAGCTCGTGTAAACGCAGCGCCTGGGAAGCACGGAGGACGTACAGCCATCCAGGCAGCTGCCGAGGGTGGAAATCTGGAAATGTTCAAGCAATTGTTAAGAATTGAGGCCGACTTCAACGCAGCTCCGGCCCACACGAATGGACGCACAGCACTACAGGCGGCAGCAGGGAGGGGTCACTTGGAGATTGTCAATATACTTCTCAATCATGAGGTTGATTGCAACGAGGATCCAGCACCAGTGGACGGCCGTACATCATTACAAGCATCGGCTGAAGGAGGCTACTTAAACGTGGTACAGCTCTTACTTGAGTCTGGGGCCGATCCTAACGCGGCTCCGTCTCAAGGAGAGGGGTGTACAGCACTACAGGGAGCAGCAAGAAACGGACACGAGGAGATTGTTAGGCTTTTGATCAACTATAAAGCCAAGGTAACAGAGGAAGAAGGCTCAGCAGCATTACAGGCAGCCGCAAGTGGAGGCCACCACGAAATCGTCGAGATATTGATCAGTAACCAAGCCCCCATCAACTACTTGGGACATGGTAACGTCTTACAAGCGGCAGCCCATGAGGGGCATCAGCATGTGGTTGAGCTATTGATTAGCAAGGGCGCTGATATTACCGCAACCTCGTCTGCAATAGGCGGAGTGAATACAGCATTTATGGCAGCCATAGAAAAAGGACACTATGGGATTGTTAAATTACTGATGGAGAAAAGCGCAAATTCCTACGACCTACCGGACGCCCTTCTATTAGCAGCAATGAAGAAACAGGAGGACATTATATCCCTCTTGATAAAACAGGGAGATGATATAGATCAGATCGGAGTAAACGGACGTACAGCGCTCCAAATGGCGGCCGGGAAAGCACAGAAAGAAACAATGCAAATACTGATACAAAAAGGAGCGAAGGTAAATGCACTAGCCGCGCCAGAAGGGGGCCGCACAGCAATCCAGGCAGCTGCGGAAGGCGGACACAATGAGATAATTGAGTTTTTGATTAAGGAGGGAGCTACTATCAGTGTTGCCAACGACCTACCGGCAAATAACGGCGGACGGACCACTCTCCAGGCAGCAGTGGAAGGTGGAAATATTGGAACGATCGAGCTATTGATCAGCAAGAAGGCCGAAATTAACGCCGCACCAGCACCACGAAATGGTCGTACTGCGTTACAAATTGCTGCAGGGAGTGGAAAGACAAGACTGATGATGCAGTTGATCAACGAGGGAGCAGACGTCAACGCAGCATCGGCGATAGTAAATGGTCGGACAGCACTCCAGGCGGCCGCAGAAGGGGGATACAAAGCGACTGTTGAGCTCTTGATTAGGGAGGGCGCTGAGATTAACGAAGTACCTTCAGCAAACAACGGGCGTACAGCGTTACAGGCGGCTATAGAAGGGGGAATAGGGAGACTGTTGATCTACTGATCAGTAACGGTGCAAACGTGCACGCGGCGCCGGCAGATGAGAGAGGGTTCACCGCACTCCAAATCGCAGCAAAATGTGGAGATCAAAAACTAGTCAAATTGTTGATCGAGAAGAAGGCCAATGTAAACGCCGCGCCGGCAGCATATGGGCTCACAGCATTGCAGGCCAGTGCAATAGAAGGGCATCTTACGATTGTACAATTACTGCTAGAAAAAGGAGCAGATATCAATGCAGCACCAGCAGCAAAGGGAGGATTAACAGCTTTGCAAGCCGCTGTAAAAGGCGGTCACATGGGCATCATACAACTACTAATAGACAAAGGGGCCGCCATCAATGCCGCGCCAGCAGAGACGGGGGGACGAACAGCCTTACAGATTGCTTCAGAGAAGGGAAACATGGAGATTTTTCACTTCCTACTGGAAAATAAGGCAGATGTGGACGCCATGCCGGCAACATATGATGGGCAGACAGCATTGACGGCTGGTGTTGAAGGAGGTCATATGGGTATCGTTAAGATATTACTACATATGGGAGCAAATGTCAACACTCCGTCAACAATTGATCGTCATACAGCTCTCCAAATTGCGAAAGAACGTGGGTTCGCGGATATTGCTCAACTACTTATCGAAAAAGGAGCCCTCGATACTATACCTATAACGGTCGATGAGAATCCGGCGAAGGAGGGATTTGAGGAGGTTGAAAATCCCCCCACCATGCAGATTGAGAGAGGACAATTGTTGCCAGGGGGAGCCCCCGATGGCAGAAGACATAGGATTGGAATGAGAGTGAAGATGGGAATGAAGCGAGAGAAATCGACAGGGACTTCTGGAGATTTACAAGGGGAGCCTGAGGCTTTGACCCAGCAAAAGAGGGCATCGACATCAGGGAGTGCATTGGGTATAAAGCCGGAGATGCCAGTGCCTGATGATGGTCGAGGGCATAGAGGGAGTATGTCGATGTCTGGGGCTTTGCGGCGGGATGCCTCGAGGACTTCTAGTAAAGTGGGGAACTTATGAAGCAAATTCATGTAAGTGGAATAGCATATATATTTTCCACCCCTGCGTTCAACAACCTTTGGAATTGATTGTGCTAACGGTACGCCGCCCAATGACAGGCACCATTGTAAATATCACAAAACCAAGGGCGTAAAAGCGATTGCATGGTTAACTGGGTGGGTACTGTTTTGTTTTCTGGGCGGTTATTAATTGTTCATTGCACTGGGTGGACTTGAGCCCTAAAATTAACGATACGGCTGTGGGCATGGTTGATGGAGAGAACTTGGCTGGACCGGGTTGTCTTTCTACCAATTTTCCCACATATAGTTAGATTTTTCCCTTTCTTTAGAAGATTACACTTTCGAATGTATTTCATTTGTATAATATCATGAGAGAAAGAACGCCGTACATGTAGTTTATTCGTGCAGTAATTGGAGTGGAGGATATATATCTGTGATTGATGATACTGCTGTCTGACAGTCTGACGCGCCTCTCTTCTTACGTAGGAATACATATGCGGAAGACTGTAGATGTCTCTAGAGTACTCTAGTAGGTACTACAGTCGACTGGTCTCTTTGGCACTGTTTAAATACTCTCACATGCGTAGGTATGTATATACAACTGTCCGTCTTGGGACCCTGCACGGACCATATGCGATGTGGCGCGTTACACGGAGTCCGAACTACATGTAGCCTCATGAGTACCTACTGCGGTACATGACAGTTACTCTAGGAAGAGAAGTAGAGTTACATACCTACTCTACCTACTCTAGAGGAGGTAACTAGGTACATACATACATACATACATCATAGAGTACATGCTCTACGGCCGTCAGGTACGCAGAATAACAAAAGCTATCTCTCTCAAACTGTCCACCCACTCTCGCTACATAAGTTAGCATGCGGAGCAACCTCCGAGAGGGTGATAAGAGCATAACCAATAGGTTCCTACATGTAGATTAACTAGAGTATTTGTGCTTTTACATATGAGCGAGCAGAAAAACTTAAACCCGGTCCGGGGATCGCGAGACGGACGCCATACATGTCTCGTTTAGCGCCTTGTCACAAGTCGCGGTGTGCGGTGTCACTTTTTCCGCCTGCTGCGGCTACTCTACTCTAATTGGACGGTCTCCGCCCGGACAGGACGCTGCCCGGACCGGGTGGAGTTATGCACATTTAGTGGCCCGCAAACTCTCCATACACAGGCGCAGCGGATATACTCTAGATCTATCTGGGTTACGTAAAAGCCGGGCATGCAGAACGAGAAACAGAAAAAATGATCAGCATGCATTATGTGCATGTGTGGAAGGCGGGGTATGTTATCTCAGATAGAGTAGAGATTGGGATATCTAGGTACTCATACATGTGTGTACCTAGGAAAGCTCATCATCGCTCCGCTGGAACACTCTGCGATCTTCATCTGAAATCGAGGGCCCTAATTGCGGTGATGCCGAATTTCGAGATATCGTTCTGCATCACCGGTGGTACGGGCATCACCAGGCTGAAAACAATCCGGTTCGAGATTTGGTAAATGATACATTCGTCTAGCTATGGATCCACAAACTTGTATCGAGGTGAAACTACTATGACAGCCAAGGGAAATACTTGGTTTGAGTCTGAAGCTGGACTTTGGAATGTCTTTGGAGGTGAGTTCGTTGGCAACCCCCATTTACCTTATGACCTCCATACATCAAGATTCCTCGCAGCGAGTGCTAAAAGATGATAGGAGCGTACTTATCCGGTCACGACTCTTTTTGAACTGCCCTCCCACTCTCTGTTCTCCGCCGCGCTCGTACCACGAAGCTATGGACCCAAAACCGAAGTCAAAAAAACGAATCCACCCTGTCTACGGAGTTCAAGCTGTGCGCTTTTATGGGGGTTCTGGGGATACCCAGTCGTTTACATTGCCAGTTACATGGCCTATGGAACGAGGATTAAACTGATCAAATGCCGCTGCCCGGATCGCGAAAAGGATGGAGATTGCGGTAGGTTTTTACATCGCACTCGAGGGGCAATCAAGAGGCTAAATATATAGTCTACGTATAATGAGGGTTTCTGGGGTCTGTAATATTGAGGTAAGGCTTGGAGGAGATATGTGGTATGAGTCTTTTGAGCCCTCTCCGCTATGGATAATTCATTAATTATCAGATGCCGCAGCCTGTCTTATATAGGAGACCTTCCAAGCTCCAAAACACGATAAACGAGTCTCAGTACTCTAGGGACCGTGTGACTTTACCTGAACCTATGCTCGAATGAGCTCTCACATCCCTCACACCTCAACGAAGATCATCCACATCTAAGCAAGCTCAACAATTCGATCACCAAATGTCTCGGATCCCGATGATACACGACCGTGACGCGTATGGTATTGGACACCTTGAAATGCTCCGGTTTGGTCTAAGACAGTAGCTGATCTACCAAACACCTATCGAATGGTATGTGGTCAGAAAGGTGGCGCTGTTGAACCAGTCCTAGAGGGAGGTTTCAAGGATTTGATCGCATTAGTAAGCCCAAAAAACACGTAAAACTTATCATTTCTCACTGGAGTTCGAACAGAGCAGATAAGGGTGTGAGCATCGCGTCATACAGCTTATCCACCGATCTGAAATTCATCTATGAGGTTGTTAAACACACCCACGCATGGCACTAGATATACCGCACCCAACGGAAATTGCTTATTGAGCTCAGGCACTCTGGGAAAAGAACATGAAATTGAGAATCTTGTCTAGTTCAACTTAGACCAATTACAAGATGGGGACTTTTCTGCTATGGGGAATCTAGCTAGAGATGTCGGGATATTGGTAGTAGGTGGAGCACTAATAGCATCGAGGGTGAGATCAAGCATAGCTGGTATGGAGGCGATTTTTTGCAAGATCGTGGTGAAAGGCAGTGAGGCAGTACGTTAGCGGAGTTTTGAAAGGATAAGAACATATCGAAAGAAGTATTGCAGTTAGCAGAATCTCAAAGAGATCAGAAGGTTGTTTGTCCAACAAGGCTATAGTGCTAAAGTAGCAGAAGGAAATGTTGGCTGATGCGTCTGAAAGAGCAAAAGCATAGATATATAAGGAAGGTCTCTCTTATTTAGTTATTTATAGAGTTGAATCCCTACCGGTGTAAGCCGGAATCTCTGAGAATCGCCGCGCGCGCGGAAAGGTATGGGAACGAGTGATATACCATGATTGAGAGATGTCAATGATAGTTTACAGGCTTTCTGCCAACCCTTCGGTGGGTGCGTCCGTACATCTAGTATCTAGCAAACACGAAGTCCCCGGTTCAAGTGTATGCTATTTTCTTCCGTGTATGACGGGAGGGATAGATGTGAGAGTAACGGGAATCGGAAATTATTTACTCGTTATAGACGGACCACAAAAATCAAGGCTCAAAAGCCCAAAATAAAAAGTAAACGAGACAAAGAAGTTAGAAATTTGAATTCCTGAGTAACCCAGTGATATCCCGACCCCATGAGAAGTAGACAAGTGAAAAGGGAAGAAAATATTGTTGCTAACTGAACTAGAACATGTATTGCATAAGAAAGAAAAGGGTGAAATGAGAAGGATAAAAAGAAAGAGAAATGCGTGCCGTAAAAAGAGACACAGAGGTAAAAAATGAAAAGAAGAATGAGAGGGAGATCTCAAGATCGAGAAAGCTCATCAAATGGAGGTTGTTGTTCGGGTGGGTGGGAAACAATAGTTGGCTTATCACTTCATATAGCTCTGGAGTAGTCTCATTGTTTCTGTGCGTCCATTCACCGCACGCGCAGCATAGTAGAGTGCTCTCTGGCCAGAACTATCCATGGCGTCTTTGTCGACTCCCCGGTCCAGGAGTAGTCTCACTGTCTCTGTGTGTCCATTCTCCGCAGCGTGGTGAAGTGCTGTCTAGCTATAGTCGCCCTTAGCCTCTTTGTCGACTCCCTGGTCCAGGAGTAGTCTCACTGTCTCTGTATGTCCATTGCGTGTAGCGTAATGAAGTACTGTCCGGTCACGGTCGTCCTTAGCCTCTTTGTCGGTTCCCCGGTCCAGGAGTAGTCCCACACTCTCTGTGTGTCCATTGCGTGTGGCGTGGTGAAGTGCTGTACGGCCCTTTTTATCTTTGGCTCCTATGTCGAATGTTCCCTTGTCTAAATAATGTTTCACTATGTCTATGTGACCTGTAGAAGCTGCATAATGCAGCGGCCCTTGGCCTTCATGATCATCATCAGCTGCATTAATATTACCTCCATCGTTAAGTAACATTTTATGTGTTTCTGTATGGCCGTTTATCAACGCCAGGTGTAGCGCTGTCTTCCCATTCTTTTCTTTTGCCTCAAGGTCTGCGTTGTTCTTCTGAAGAATTCGAATTGCATCTATCGAGCCTTTTGAAGCAGCGATGTGCAGAGAAGTTTGCATTAATCCGTCTCTCCATTTGATTCCAATGCCTCTTCCAGCTAAGGTTTCAATCATACCCCGTGAACCTTTCCATATAGCCCAATATAACGCCTCCTCGTCGTGTTTCTCTATTAACTTCAAGTTTACCCTCGCTTCTGATCCCTTCATGGAACCTTCGCGAGATAACTTCCTAGCCTTCCCATCAATGTCTGTGGCACCGTAAAATAAAAGAAGATCCACAATTTCTCCGGCGTTATTCTTTACTGCGAGGTCGAGGGCAGTTTCCCCATTTTTATTGGGAATATCTAGCGGTCCGTGATGGAGTAACAGAGTCTGCACGACTTGTGTATGACATTTAGCAGAGGCGTGATGTAGTGGGGTTTGACCTAAATAGTCCTGAGAAGTTGCTTGAGCATGGTTTTGTATTAGTCTTTGAACCACACCGGTATGACCTGATAAAGATGCAAGAATCAACGGTGTTCGCAGGCTGGGGTCACGGCTTTCAACGTTTGCTTTCTCTTCGAGGAGCCTTTCGACAAGCAACACCCACCCGTTCTCCGCCGCCATCAACAATTGTTCGTCCACCGATCCTCTGTGAAGTGGTTTTGAGAGTTCAAAATCATGTTTAACTTTCCATACATCGAGTGTCTTCTTCGGGATATCGCCTAGGATATTAATCATACATTGATTTATTAGGTTCATAGTGTCGACGTCTGGAAGACGTGCTGCATGATCAGTATCGTAGAACTGGGATCTTTCGCAAACTGCCAGAAAGACGTCTTCGCAAAGTAAAGTGATACGTTTATCAATTTCGTCAGTGTATCCGTTGGAATCTGACTGCAAGATGGTCGAGCAAGCTTGACGGAGATCCACGTATATTTGTCCGGCCTTCATCCACTCGTTTTTTCCCTTGAGAACGTTCACCGAGGTCTCGGCGCAATGAAAGAGCCCCATTAACACCCACTCAGCTTGTTCAAACTCTCCTATATCAATGTGGGACTTTGCTGTCTCAGAAAAACAGCCAAAAAAATTCGTATCGAAAAATTCGGGCAGATTTCTGGATTTGAATAACGCAGGCACAAGGGTCATATATGCCTCCTCAGTGTTTGCTAAACCTGTCTGTTCGATTTCTTTCGCTAACCCGCTTAAAACGACTGTACCCATTCCGAATCCTTTCTTATCGATCTTATTGCCCACCCTAGGGAATACCTTTGCTCCTATATTGATATGTTGTGCCATACTAGAAATAAACTCGGCAAGAATCGTCTGTCCACATATGTTTTCCAGAGAAGAATCCGAAATGACCCGAGAAGCGGCGCCTTAATACTTGATGCAGACCTTTGAGGGATACCGACAACATGACCAGATCGTCCAATATTTTCGTTGAGCTTCGAACAGTATAGATCATCGACTTTAACAAAATCAGATCCACGTGTTATCCAGCGCTCAAAGTTTATTCTCCCGATATTGTCGCATAGTCCAAGGATACGTAAGGTCGGCCGGGCTCTCTGGGGGCCATCTTCTTCACCATTTTGCGCATCGTTCCTACCGTCTTGGTTGCGCTCAATATCCCTAAACTGTAGCATCCATAGTCCAAGAACTGCATCTATTTCGCTCGTCGAGGCTCGCCAAGGGCCCCAAGGACCATCCAGTAGTCTACTTCGTCTCATACTCAAAGTGACCACTTCTAGATGACATTGGTCTAATTTGTCAATAACCTCAACTAAAATCTTCCAATCAAAGGTCCCTTGCGCCAACCAGTAATTTCTGTCTAAAGTGACCTCCTCATTCGAAAACAAAAAGTTTATGACTGCTTCTATCGCCTTTTTTGTTGAATCAATGGTTTTAAGCCACTTGCTCGGCCATCTTGATAATGTTCCCAATCGACGTCTCGCGGTAACCAGCTTTGTGGCTAAACTGCCCTCGGATGGGTTAGGTCTATCAAAACCCCATGTAACAACAGTCCACTGCGGGCAGTTTGATATCTCTCGTGCCATCCAGTCTAACTCATAGCCTGCCTCAAGCTTTTTGTTCGTAGGTTTATGAATCAGATTTCTGCGGACCCATGCCCTTAGGACAGTCATAATTACCGTAATGACCAGCTGTGAAGCTGTAACTGACCAGTGCATCAATCGCAATCCAAGAAATTGTCCAAAAAAGCCACACAAACTGGCGGAACCGCCAAAACTACCAACGAGCTTTGCCCCTTTATACCTGGTGGCTTCCGGGATCTTCGGATAGAAGGCTTGCTCTCGAGTGAATCGAAAAGTGAAAAAATTATCCCCCCCAATAAAAAGAAGCGCGTTTTCAAGCGCCTAGGATCCCGCCGGCATAAGAAGTAGAAAGTGGAGAATCCGTGAAGCAGACTGGCCCAAAACATAAACAGTTTCCATGCTATTAGATGAGGCAGCCCCCTATTTGAGTCGTTCAGAACAACCCAAAATTGCCTCGAAATCAAGTGGGGAAGTTCAAGAGGACTCTTCAGGAACCGAAAAAACCATGGATACCAATGTCTCACCAATTGCCTGAGTGCTTGAAGATAGGTCTTGGCTACCATAGCTCCAAGCAAATAGTGACGAGAGCTCAGAACCCCGGTAGAGCGGACGAAACGAGCGCACCACCCCACCGCGAAAAGACAGCAATGGATGATCACTTGAGCGAACCGTCTAAGGGTGTTTGTTTGGTTGCGGTCCTTCGAAGCGAAGAGAGCGTGAGAATCGAATAGCTGATCATTGACCTCTCCACCTAGTTGTAACCATGCTATTTTTATCCTTGCGCCCTTCAATTCCTCAAACTCCCAGGTTTCTTCGGTAGTACTTCGGTCAATAATATGTGAACAAAGAAACATCCCCAAGACCAATGAGCAAGTCCCAACAGCCATTAGGGGGAAGGCGTAGGGTTGGGGAGTTCCACCGTCTTTCTTGAAGTTTGAACTTCGATGCGAGATAAGGACACTGAAGCCTGCAAATAATAATACACCAAGCTGTAGCATCATCCTGAACACTGCAACAACCCATAGCTCGAATACGGGAACGGTTTGTCCACCCATGTTGAGGGAAAGATTGGGGGCCAGATCGGAATATATAAATCGACCAGAGCTATCGGCAGTAGACGAAGAAATACGCTTCAGAAGTCTTTTTCCCCCTTCTGATTCAATGCTGAATCGAAACCGTATATTCCAAGGTCATCCTGCCACATCTGTAGGGCGGTTTGTTCAGATATGTTGGGGTTGTCATCGTCGGGGACAACATAAATCAATTCGATGATAGATCTTCCAAGCACTCTCACGATCCCATCACCGTTCCATAATTCGCAAACCTCAGTTGAGGTCGAGGACATCAACTCCAGCTCAACAGTAGAGCGGCTCTCTTTTGCACGCCCAATGATAGCCCTGAATTCGTTAGGGCCTCCAACCCTAATAGCACCAACCATGGCCGTCATGATACCCAATGGAGCAACGGCAAAGATGATACTGTCGGCAATTGTGAAAGACTCGCTCATAAATTGCGTTGCAACTCTCTCGCCAAACAATGCAAGAAGGGGCGCTAAATCTGTAACGAAATTATTGATGAACTCATCTCCAGCATCCGCAGCCTTTGCCGAAGAGCCTTGGTGAGAAGGGTATCATGTACTGCCAAAGCGATGTCCTTTTCGTAGTAGGCGACGTAGATAGGCGACTAGGCTCCGAGGAGGATTGCTCCTGCGGGTTCTTGAGTCCAGGAGCATTCGCAGCTGAAGAATCAAACTTTATGTCTACTTCTCTTTGATCTTATTTTCATAAATAATATTAGCTATTAATTCATTGGGACAGAAGTAATAGAATTCTAAGCATACCGTTATTCCCGGCTTCCGCTGGATGGGTGCCCTTCCTCCGACGCATACCCGCTGAAATATCCATTTCAGATGGAAAGGGCTACCCTGATACGAGAAATCCACGGGAACTCAAAGCTTTGGTAAGTGTCAGTATGCGAATATAGTGATATCAGGCCCGAATTAAAGGATTTTCATACCTTGTGTACGCCTCAAAATTGAAATTGAATAGAAGCAAACAAGGTAAATTAAACGAACGCGAAACCAGCTATCTAGGCAATATAGTATTAGTACTTGGTGAGTGATCGAGTGAGAATGGCTGAGGCCCCATACCTTTTGGCCAACTTCTGAATAGCATGTCCTAGGTGTGAATATTGTAAAAGCTTGTGAGTGTGAAAATTAAGAGCTGTCCCCTATAATGTGTACCTACGTAGATCAGTATGTCCACGATGCTGCGCAGGAGCGGCCTATGAAACTTCAAGATAGTAAGGCCATTGGTTCCAGAAATATGCAAGCGCACATGGCCGGTTCAAATCTCCTAAAACATATCTACCCGTAGAAACGGTTATCCAGTACGTATCTAGAACCAGTTATTCAATACATGTAACTAGTTAATTTAAGTAAATTTAGGAATTTTCGCAAAACATAACATCGATTAGTGCACAAACGCGCAGCGAGGCGTCACACATTAATATTGTGTAGCTAAACAACATTCAATCAGGGACCAATACGTAGAACCAATCGGTAACGAGTGATCAGACACGAAGATCGACTCAAAATCTTAGCAATCTCTAAAGCTTACTTGAAGGTTCAATCAACACCAATCTAGCTCCTCTGTAGATCTAGATATAGATTACCTATGTAGCTATAATATGTACATATTATATACCTACAAGTAGCTTTGGTAGAATCTAGTATAGTATCCAAAGCTAGCCTAAGCCCCCCTCCCAAAGAGTTACGATATCATATTCGCCGGGCACAACACTCTTTTTCACCAGCAAACCCCAAAAACACGAGCATTGTCGCTACGGGATATCGCTAAAGAGTGTGAACAGCTTGAACAGCCATATTGATCCTAGGAAGAGAGTGTTTCAGCGGCAATATGAGCGACCTGGATATATCACTGGTTCGATTTATCTTGCAACGACTTTCATTACACTACCTATGGCTGTTGGCGAAAGCTTGTTTCACCGATTCCTACTCCCAACTAGATCCACAACGCTTTATCACTGTGAGTATGCATAGCCATGACTGAGTGGATCTTCACGATGAGGTTTTATGTTTCGGTTAGGCCTCTGATAGGGCTTTTAAATCCCATTCTCTCGTCCTGTAGAAAGCGTTTTGGTTTTTCGGCCTGGTGTCGCCTATCCATCATAGAGGCGCATGTGCTGCTGCATATAGAACTCCAGCGGGCCTAACTATTCTACATATCGTACGGTGCTGTAGGTAGAGAGAGCGCTCCGATTCCTGCGCACGTGATATCATGATAAGTAAACCGCAGACTACCTATATGGAATATTATAGAGCGCGTCTAGCTTGCGCATATCCGCGTATGTCCCTCTTATTCTAAAAACTCAAGGGGTAAAGAACGTTTGACCACATAAGATAGTGAGGCCGCGTCTGCCGGCTCCGAACTTCTGGGGTGCCGTCATTGTACATACCCAAATACCACAGAATTCAAGATTTTGCGGTTCAGTCCAAGCGTATCTATATGAGGAAGTTGAGTATGGAAGATTTTATCGCATTGGTGGGCTGGAGGACTTTGAAGCTGGGGGGCGGACATAATAGCGTAAGGGCAGTAAAGAAGATGTGGTTTTGGGAATTAGAGTGGATCTGCGGCGCCTTGATCATGATGGTAGAGGGAGCATTAAGCGTTGGCTGTATGAGTTGGGAGGAGAGAGAGTAGAGCTCTCTCCCAGTACTCTAGATTGAGCTGGCTTGGACAATAATAAACGGGACGGATGGTCTTTGGCGCACAGTAGAAGGCGCTGGTGAATTCGACGTTGCCGGTCTGCAAAAGCGACTTAGGATCTGAGACATCGACGGCCGGAATAATTATCCGGCTAAGCTGGATTGGCCTTGGGGGTCTTGCGCGCTGGCTTAACTACTTGGTAGCTGGCCTAACTATTTGGTAGCTGGCCTAACTATTTGGTAGCTTGTCGCTTGTGGATTTGGAATGGAGATCGAGAGATTGTGCTGATAGCACAATGCAATGAATCGCGGTAGTTGCCATGGTACCTCCATTCGATTTCCTATCTCCTATGTCATTAGTGTAGAGGTGATGGATACTTACTTGTCCACATTCCTTGTGTAAAATCAAAAGTTAAGGCTCCTCGAACGGGCCGGTCGGCATCTACCGCGCTTGGGGGGGGTGCTAATTGAGGTGGGGTTAATGTGATGTGATACCTACATATGTACTCTACTATTTTCCCTACCTACTCGACCTATGTAGTATTCTAGAGTCGCACAGTTGATGTCCACAACCGAATGAGCTGAGGGAGACCGACACATGTAGCTTCGTGGCACCTCAAATTGCAAAATCCACATATTCCTCCTACCTAAGGCTACTTTCAACTCAGCCGGCTGCAATCGGAATGAAGAGGATAATACCTATTCGCTTTTCACACAGAGAGGTATCTGAGGCATGTACACGTATGTAGTGGGTTCTGAGTTCATAGGCCGACACAAGCGACACAAACCTTCAGCCCGACGCTTGTTGAGTCTTAAATAGATTTCGCTAACTTTTACCTCTTCTTCTTCTGACTTTGGGGGGGGCAGATGAATGTATTTGTAGATTACACGGATACTCTAGATCTATTCACATGATCATTCAAGAGGGAACTCGAGTAACTTGAGGACGATGTAGGTAGAGTATGTAGGTAGAGTGGTACATATAGGTGTATATAGCAGGTACCAACATACCTGCGACAAAAGAAAAAAAAGTCTCGATGGAATGCCACTAGTGCGGCTGAAAGGTTTCTGGGGCAGTGACGATTGAGATCAGCAAATCACAGTGCATCACCCGCTCGCGCATCTGGGATTGCATGCTGCATAAACAAGGATTGTCTCTCCGCCAAAAATACGGGGGTCCATCACCAATTGAGTAAGTACCACTCGTGATCCCTGCAGAGTCCACCTTGAGCCTCAACCTTAAATTATCTTAGTGATCAGAAAAGCGTTTTCAATTTCGTTGTGACCTGCGGGGATTTAACGTGTATCCCCTCGATCCTATCAATCTCACTCTAAGCTTTGGCTTCCAAATAAGCTACATGAACACAAGATTCCCATGCAACCCGAGACTACGGTTGACCATACATGACAAGCTCTCGGGCGATGTCAACCCACAGTACCTCAATTCGGTAGGATCGACAACATGAAATGTTACTCGGTTCCAGAAAAAGAAAACATGGTCTACCACGTAGTGACCACTTGGGATCCATCATTCGCATCAGTCGATGAATTGAGAACTTGGACACAAGACCAGGCTTTTGGTTTGCAAGGCTTGCATCGCCGTCCTTATCTACTCTACTCTACACAGGTAATACTTATTTTTACGCATTCCATCGAATACTGATTAGTACACATCTAGATATGTACTTCCCAATCCATCCGTTCTGAACTTGATGGGGTCCGAAGCACCGATCTAGTGAAGAGGTGTCAAGGTACCGGAATGGATGTAGCACAGAAGCGCACCTCATATTAATAGAAACTTTGTTGATCTTAACCATAACCAGTACTATCTTATGACAGTTCACATATTGATACCATACAAACCACATTTCCGGATTGATGGCTCATCACTGCACTAGGAATATTTGAGCGCCTGCAGGTGTCCCGCAGGTGTGGCAACTGTGGGTTTTCTTTATTCGTTCTAGAGTGGTACCTTGATAGAAGTGTCTTTGATCGGATCCGTATCTATGCTACTCTAGTATCCGAAATTCCACTACTATCCGTGCCTGAGCTCACGCTACAGAGAATCACTACTCAGCAGACTCTCGTATGCTCTGTTCTTATTCTAGAACACGAATATTCTACAGTTACTCGGTGTAGCTTTTCAGATACGCCTTCACGTATTCGACCCGTATAGCATGTCTCGAATGACAATTATCTTCTGCTCATTGACCGCTTGCTAAATGAACTGACCATGGAGATTTAGATATAAAAGACACCGAGTTCCCCGAACTATAGCTACTACTCTTCACTACTCATCCGTCCAGATACACACCACCAGACTCGCAAAGACAATCTCGACAGCAATGAAGTTGATTCCGTTCGTTTGTAGCCTTCTTTTCACAGCAGCTTTCGCGCTGCCGGCACCCTCTCCGGATCCCCAGGATACGAAAACATGCACCAGCCCGCCTCTCCGCAAGGAATGGTTAGTTACAGTGATCCTCGCATGGCAGCATCAAGCTGACTTTCTGCAAAAGGCGTACCTTGTCGGACGAGGAAAAGTTGAATTATATCACAGCTGTCAAGTGTATGCAAAAACTACCAGCGATCAGTACCGGTGCTGTTCCAGGCGCCGTATCGAGGTACGACGACTTCGTGGGTGTACATGTTAGAGACGCAAATACTATCCATTTTGTGGTATGTTTCACTCGTTCAGAGAAAGGTTGAGCATTTTACTAACTCTCACAGGGACACACACTCCCCTGGTATGATTGAATTGACTTCTCAAGTAATGGAGCGATATATCTAACCTTTCCCAGGCATAGATACTTTGTTGCGAAATTCGAAGAGGCAATGATCAATGAATGCAACTATACTGGCGGTCAACCGTGAGCAGTTCCAATTTAATAGTTTTCAGGTTGAGACCAAACTAATGCAATCATTTCTCAAGATACTGGGACTTCACGCTCGACTCTGCAAAAGAAGAAGACTTTCTCGCCTCTCCCATCTTTGATCCCGGCCCACTTGGTTTCGGCGGAAACGGTCCCTGGATTGCCGAGAGTATCGATCCCTTCCCTCCCGCCCCGGGACGTACAGGTGGAGGGTGTGTTCAAGACGGCGCTTTCAAGGACTCGGTTGTACGCCTAGGACCGAGGGAGAACATTCAGTTGAACGAAAGATGCCTGACGAGGGATTTCAGCCCTTGGATTGCTACTACATTCTTGTCCGCCCAGTTAGTGAAGGACACGCTGGACCAAACCACCTTTGGGTGGTTTGACGTCAAGGCACAGGGTAAGATCCAGAATGTCTATACATATAGATATCACGGTGGTGGTCATCTTGCGATTGGAGGAGAGCTCGGAACGGTATGTAGTTGTCATCGTCTCTTAGGACAAACTGACGGGATGCTGACTCTTCTCTCTCTACTTACAGCTGGCAGATGTGTGGAGCAGTGCTGGTGGTAAGTTGAACCTCTTCTTCCTAGTCGCTGAAGTTACTAATCAAACGATCTGCAGACCCACTATTCTACCTTCACCATACCAACATGGACCGCCTCTGGTGGGAGTGGCAGAAGAAGGACCTTCCCGCCAGGTTGTACGATATCTCCAACCCGATCTACCCATTCGACTTCCCCTACGGAAACGCAACCTCAAGGGGTAATGTTACCTTGGAATTCGAAATGCCTTTCCATGAAGTTGCGAAGACCGTGACGATTGGGGACACCATGGATATTATGGGAGAAACACTCTGTTATGATTACGCACCATCACCTGAGAAGAGCAATTGCTATTGAGGGAGGGAATGAAAGAGATTGAAGTGTCGAATATTTCATGTTTGTTATTAATTTTGTATTGATTGTAGAGGCTTCCCCGTACCCGGGGTCTCATTTGTCATAATTACTTTATCTCAATTCAATTTTATAGAGTAGTGATCGAAAAATTCAAGGATTCCTAGGTTCATTCTCAAGTGTGAAGCACCACAACACGCGCCCCGCAGAGATCGACTCAGGGGTACGCGTTGAGTAATAGATCTTTTCTTTGGTCGTTCCGTCCGATATATTTTTAAACCTGGCTTTGTAAGCGATGAAAAATATAGGAAATTCGGAAGCGTGGTCCACTCACCAGGAAACCTAGAGCGATGTGAATGAACAGGTGAAAGCTGTCTTTGTCCCAAATATACTGGGCTCAAGATACCCAATGGCGTTTCAGTCCCACCTACACGTTATTTTCAACTCCTCAATCATATGCAGCGTAAATCATGAACTATCACTCGAACACGTAAAAGACCTACATTTTTTCACAGAATGAAAAGTATGGGAGACTCCCGAAACCTAGGATGAACTCAGAATAGATATCCCTTAAGTGTGTTACTTGCTTTAGAGTTCTTTCGGGAGAGGTATTTCTGGAGATATAGAGGTGTAACGCCGAATCATGATATATCACTCGATTCTCATTCTTTCGAAGGTTGTTGATTATTTTTTTGATTTTTTTGTTTATGTTTAGCTCATTAATTACATGTCGTTGGTTTTGTGCTTTTTTCCTGGGAGTGAAATCCCCGGTAGAGCTATCTTTGTAAGGGTCTTTATGTGGCATTATCTGGGGTTATTTAGGAGGGTCTAGAATATCTTATTAGTGGGTCTAGAACTTATGCTTGCCACCTATTTTTAGTATACATAGATCTACTATTTCAACTCATGTCGAACGGTCAAGTGGTTGAGGGTTTGTTCGCTGCTGTTTCCGCTACCGATTTTCCACAGAGGTCTGGAGGGAATCTCATGAGATTTCATTTTTTTATGGAGTAAATCGCCGGGTATGTGGCCATGGGTAAGCCTAATACCTCCTCTGATAATCTTGCGGCTAGGGACGGGCACAGGACGGAAGGTCTCGAGGCTTTCCTTGTCCCGCGATACGAGGGAAAAAACATGCCACGAATAAAAGAATAGAAATGCAGAAAATCCTACCTTGTTGATTGATTTGCTTGACTATAATATGGATCAGGCCGCGCCACGTTTTGTGACCCTTTTGTACACAAATATCTATGCGAAGAAGCCCTAAAACCTGATGTATACGCTGACCTCTAATCATTATAGACATGGCCATGGCTATCGATTTCGTAATAAGTAGTAAGTAGGACATTTCGACCAGTATCGCGCCCAATAATTTAAACTAAACATGGGCGGAAAGAGAGAAGACAATACAAGACAAAACGGAGAAAGCCTAGTCTCGAGATTTTAGAAACGTGCGAGTGATCGTTTATGAACTAGATATCAGCATCGAAACCTTGAATTGATATGAAAGATTATGAGTAATCAGATGACTCCAATTAACTCCAAATCTCGAAATTTTGCATAATATGAGCTAGGGCTCAAGGATTGTCAATTCCAAGATCTCTTTCTGTAATCCGCGAGAAAAGATAAAAATACTCCAGTATTGACGTGTTCTGTGCTGTATCCTTTACTATTTACAGCAGGTGAGCACAAATGGTATTACCTGAAGGAGTAGATTGCACTATGTACTTCATAAAACGTTTAAAGCGCGAGTCTACATATACTAGATATTTATTAGAAAGAGAGTCTTCTGAACTAATTCTGGGGCGCGCCTGTATACAGAGAGGGCCTCGGAGCACACTGCGACCTAGGATTGTTTATATGAGACGAGTGATCGATATCAACCAAAGCCGTAGGAGTGGATCATACTTGTAATGAAGAATACTATAGTATTGGGCAATATCCGAGAGTTTCCTGCACTTTAATATTAAGGCCAGAAACCCCTCACACTCTAAATAAACAGGCCACCCAATGCCCGCCGGAGACTGTATCCTCCGGTATGACGATACAAGTAGGAAGCAAGTCAGGTTCCACTCGTATGAGTGGCAACCTAATGTAATTGAAGACAGCACTCGAACGTTTCATCAACTGGTACAGGATTCCAATTTATTCATATCTCCTAATATATATATAAAAGATCAGGACGAAAAGAAATTTCACATTTCGCAGGTGATGATTGGCCTAGGGCCTAATCCTACACATAGGCTGCCTACATAAAACGCTAAGGGTGTACCTAGCATATGCCGGAACAACCCTTTAATAAAATAATTGTTCACTCTGCCCAGGAAAGTACTTCCAAAGGCACGATGGTTCCGGCTGGTAACAAACGGGAGAACCTCTAGTAGCTAATATGTAATAAGACTCAACGTCTACAATATAATATATATACGAGCAAAGGAATGAGGAGTGTAAAAAAATAAGAGGGTATGGTGGGGAATATGTAGCGTTAAATTATATTGATCTCGTAGTACTCATTATTGACCGCACATGTGCGTATATCTTCATTCAGCTGGTTGATAAAACCTAACTAGTACTTTATCGTGACACGAATAATCCCAGTCTCCGTAAATACGAGCCTTCCGCAAAACACTACCTAAACCCTCCGTATATAACTACAGGTCCTATTTTATTTTCAGTATATAAGATTAAGAGTATGTGTATGGAGAATAGGGGAGCCAACCTAAACATTTCATGAGAGCATTTCAACAATATTGTTGTGTCCGTTCTCCAATGCAATATCAGATGCGGTCTTTCCACTTGAATCCCTCACACGCGGACTAGCCCCTCTCTCTAGTAAGATCCGAACTGACTCTGCATTTCCTATGGCGGCTGCGGCATATAGCGGAGTTTGGTTTCGTTTGTTTTTCGGTCCAACAGTGGCCCCTTTGTCAAGAAGCCTTCTGACAAGCGCGGGATGAGCAACGGCGTAGTGCAACGGAGTTCTTCTATTCGAGTCCCTCGCATCTTCGTAGGCATTGCGTTCCAGAAGCAAGTTTAATGTTTCCAGATCGCCAGCTCGTGCTGCGCCGTGGAGAGATGACTTGTTTCTGAAGTCGCCTGCTTCAATCATTGCGCCCTTGTCCAGCAGTACCTGTACAATATCCTCCCACCCGCTCTCAGCCGCAACATTCAATGGTGTCTGCCCCCTCGCGTTTCTCTCTTCAATATTTAGCCCCCCTCTCAGTAACTGCTTGACCGCCACTCTATCTCTACGCTTGACCGCCCTGTGTAACTGAGTTCCCGACTCTTCAGATTCATCTGCGCTCTCCTCCCAATCTTCTTTATCCTCTAAAAGGTCTTGTGTTCCGCGATGCCCGTTCTGCACGGCCCAGTCAAGTGCCGTCTTTCCATCTTTATCTTTTGCATCTTTATCTGCATTGAGCTGCAACAGTGTCTTCACAGTATCCCAGTCTCCTCGCTGTGCTGCGTAGTGCAATGGTGTAAAGTGATCCTTACCCACTGCATTGACATCGGACCCATTATTAACAAAGATTCTTGCTATGGAACCGTGTCCATTCATAGCCGCAATATGCAGCGCAGTGTTACAGTCCTCATTCCTTGCCAATACATTGACTTTTCTCTTCGTGAACAATGCAGCACATAGACGCTCGTTCCCGTCCTTTGCTGGATCAAACAGGGCTTCGCCAGGGAACTCGGTTCGATCGAGATCTGGTTCCGCTGTGAGATTGATAAGTTGCAGTAAGGCACCTTGAGGGTCGGTTTTGTCCTTCTCAAACGTGCTCTTATAGAATAGCGATGGAATTATACTCTTTTCCAGCTGACAAGCAATATCAAACGCAGTTCTTCCCTCATACTCAATGCTCGTATCTATCCGCGCCAATGAAAGACATAGGGCAGCCACCTCCGGAAGATTCTTGATGCACGCCCAATGTAGAGCCGTTCTACCTTTGTCGTCTGTCTTGTTGACATCAGTATCCTCGAACTCTGCTAGCATTTCAGCCCGCTCGAGATCGCCGTCTTTCACTGCTCCGATAAATTCATCGCTTTTAGAGTTGACATCAACGCCTTTCCATAAGGTTCCGAAAGTGGTCTTGAGCGGTGCGTGGGATTGTATGTGGCGGAGCCATCCTGGGCTTTCGTCAAAAGTGACCGTTGCGACCTTGAGGCTGATATCAAGGAGAGAAGGCGCGATCTTGATCACGGGGATTAGTGGATGAAAGAGATCCAGGAGCGTTTCTTCAGTGACGCGACGTCTAAGGTCGTTCATAAGAAATGAAGGGGATTCCATCTTCTCAGCTTGAGAGGGAGGATAGGTGATAAAGAAGGTGGGGTAGATCTAGAGAGTGGGAGCACGGAGTGAGTTAATATCACAACACATAACACAAAAGAGATATGGTAAAGATCGTGAAAGATGGTAGTTACTTGAGAAAGACTATATGACTGCTACTTCTGGGTGTTCTGAGGAGGATATTGATCTATTTGTGAGGTTTTTCAATCTTAAAAATAATATATTGTGGTGCTGAGTACTGAAAAGATCTTACTGAATGAATGAGTTATCAGTCGACCCATTTCTAGTGAACCGCTATTATGGGCTGACCTTCCAAATCCGAGCTATTTGAGCTCTTGCACTTGATACCATAATATAGGCTTAGGGATATAGTTCACCAACCAAATCCCCGACACCTCCACATGACGATCTTCGAATATGTCTACATATTAAGTTTCACAGGTCCCATGGGTCGGAATCTCTGCCAAGAGTATTACTTGTCGGTGTGTTTCAAATATTGTAGTTTTGTGCGCAGCCTCATCGAGGATCCGTTTTAATTCTTGTGACCGAGGGATTTTTGCCAGGAGTAGAGTAGAGTAATATGTTCTAGAGCATATCGGAGGACAATACCTATCGGCTATCTAAGTGATCCCCGGTATCAAATGGGAATTTCCGATGGAGATCTACCGTATGTACTATGTAGATTTTATGCACTTTAGAAGGCCAGCGCTCCCAAAGAAAAGAAAGCAAGAGTGTATTTAGTCATGATCAAAATTGAGGGGTATAACCAATAAGTTAGGCCAAGAAAGTACCATTTGGTTTAATTGAATAGAATACGCGCAATTTTGAAGGTTGCACCAGTAATTTGACGACGATGAATTAGGAGAGGATTTGCCCAGGAGTATTATGGTCACGTACTCTAGAGAATCTTGTGAAACCCTACTAATAGGAGATAAGTAAACAAAAATGGGAGTAGGAACTCTAGCGTTGTTGATCATGCAGCGCTCCCCATGGATCTAGTAATTATAAAATGGCTATCATAGCTTCAAAGCGTTGCACATCACGTTGATATACAAGAGGGCCAATATCCAGAGGTCGTTGAGGCCAATTCCCATCAAAAGAATTGATCTATCTGTCTTTAATAGCATTTATAAAGCAATCTCTATCATGTCAGCTACCCTTACGACTAGTCCTATGAACATCGCTCGTGGGAAGAAAGTCAACCGAAAGAAACCGGCCGACGCACCACAAACCCTACCCGACGCGCCCAGTGAAGAGCAAGCGGTTTCGGACACCACTACAGCCCTACGGTCAGGGACCCCAGAAGACCCGTCTGTTTCGGGAGCGCCGGCTATCAAGATCAAGCGGGTTGAAAGAAGCGTAGTGATAAGAGTGAGGCAGAATCGCCAGTTGGGAGAAGTTTTTGGCAGCTTAGAAAAAGATACCAAGCCGGGCACAGAAAAAACTGAAGAGACTACAATTAGTGATGAAGAGAAGGATGGCGACGATGATACACGATCGGACGGTGACGAAGAGGAAGGAAAGAGGACGGTATTTCGAACGAATGACTTTATAATGCATTTGATCGGACTCTTTAGACTGATTCACGGATAGCTTTTAAAAATTTACCAGAAGAAAATGGAAGGAATCCTTACATAGCGCAGGCTCTTTGATGGATGAGATAGTGAAATTCACGACGCAGGTATGTGCTGAAGAAAGACACCTCTACCCCTCCTGGAGCTAATATAAAGCCCTGCAGAAAGCTGGTCACTGGGCGCTCGTAATTGAAGATGTTTGTTCCTATTGAACCTTGATAGTGGCTCATTTGAAATCATGTCTAACGGTATCTCAGTCTGCAGACCAACAGCGGAAAGGCGGCGAGTTCGTATTCGAGATATCTAAGCTTAAGGACGAGCAGGAGCTACCGGTTGAAGACAGGATAGACACTTATAAGCTGGGGAAACCTAGTTCACTACCGCCGCCGGAATTCCTTTCTGAGAAAGAGGACCGATATAACGACGACGAAGACTATCCAGAGCGAGTCGATAAAACCTTATTTATGAGAGCTAGTAAACAGATTCGGAAAGGATTCGAGGAGCCAAACTATAAACTTCTTGGAGGGGTCTGCTGGGATCTTCTAGACAGACTAAAGTGCAAAACAAAATTTACGAATGGCGAGATTTGGCACGAAGGTAAGTGATCACCCTATTATATGAGTTTTGAATGAGGATCTAAGAATTTAATATAGCCCAACGCATTTGGCACCGGCAACATGACTATAGATATATCAACAACAACTGTCAGAGGTTTTGTATTTTGCTGGCAATTAGTATTAGGTCGAAACAAAACGCTACGTTGAGGATATTGAATGGAAAGATAGCTGTCAAGCAAAAGCTTAACATGTAACTAGTAAGATGTTGTTATATGTGAGTAGTTGCATTCGAGACGAAGTACGTCGGAAGTGCTGGGGTAATAATGGCTTAGCTTTAAGGCTTAGATTCTGAAGTCTGCATGTGTCATCAAGGCAATTTAAATCATGAGGTACCCTGGTTTGTAGTCTATGAGAAGAGAGAGATCGAAAATCACATGAAGGGAATATTAGAATTAAGTGGCCATGGTGTCAATTAAATTTTTAGATATAGACAATCACATTAGAAAATAAAAATAAAAAAAAGAAGCTAAAATTAAAGTAATGAGAAAAAAATCAAAAGGAGCTTTGGTGTAGCATTGGCTTAACCATGAGAGTTTAATTCTAAAACAAATGATTTTATCCGTGAAGACATCGACTAGGATGAACCAGCAAAGGTAAATTACAAAGCACAAACCCGTGTGGTACTTACCATATATGTCTATGTTTCTAGGATAATTTTGGTAGAACATAAGAGTTGAAGCGGGGCCGGGGATTTGCCGATACCGACGTAATTAAACGGACATGATGCAAAAGTATCTCTTTGGCTTGAGGGACAAGCATACCCGAAGGTGTAGACGATTCTATCTGCTAATGCGCATGCCTGGTGTGCGATTTTGAAGAAATCATAACTGGCTGATAAGACAGAGGGCCAATTAAAACATATGGCTGAGGACTAGATTATGGGGTATCTTGCGGTACAACAAACCTTCATTAGCTGGAATACAGAAAAGCAGGTCGAAAGCCTATGTAGTTTCTAGGGCAGAATTATTTTTCGCCACAGAATACACGTCACACCCACTCACCATCAAGCCTCGAGCGATAGACTTTCCTTTACCACTCATTTTATATGTTTCGTGATAAGGCATCTGGTTTTCCCTGCGCAGGATCCGCCCAGTGGTAACTGCGCACGTCAGAAAACATAAATACGCCGGTTGTGATCCCTGTCCAGGTGACTTGAAGGTTTTTAACCAATTGGGCATGGGCGAATCAATTAGAGGCTAGCGTGTTCGAATCTTTGTCCAATCGAAGATTGACATAAGATTCATAGAGGAGTACTTCATATCCGTTCCTGATTCAACAGGAGCTCCGGCAGAACCTGCATGTGGCATGCATATGGAAATACTCGGGGCAGGCAAAAAGTACCGGACAATGCAAGTTTTGTCCCTGGGCTTTTTTTGCAGTAGTTCACGTCTAGCACGCGCGCCCATTGGTGAACCAAAAACCTGCATTGTCCGGTACTTTTTACCTGCCCCGAGTACTCTATTCGTAGCTTCATGCAATATTGGTCGTGTTCGGAAGCTACGAGTAGGTAGTATATATACATGTAGTCGACCTTATAATGACAACATGGTTAACCCACCACTAACATATGGAGTCCGTCAAAGCGGTGTAGAGCAGATATGACAATCTATAAACATCGATGCCGATTAGCTGCAGATACCAGGCTGTATTCGAGATTTTCGGTTTTTTGTTGTGATACACAGCCATATAGATGGGGACAAGATCGTAGAGGCTCATGTCTCACTTTGAATGTGTTGTGGAGATGCATATACCGCCAAAACTCGAAAAATTGGCTATCTCCGGCCAGGAATTATCACTCGAGTGATTGGTTGAATGGCATCGATCTGCATCAGAAGTTTCCCATACAAGTAATTTTGATCTCTGGAAGCTAGCCAATTTTTCGAGTGCCCCTGTCAATGTAGACTAAGAGGTACATGTAGTGTAGCCAACACTGGCGACACAATCACTTTAAGCCGATGATTTTATTGGTCCTTGAAATCTACTGGTGCTCTATGGTTAGGGACACCTACAGCGTGAGGTAAAATTATTGTAGAAGTATGGGAAGAGCCCTATTGGCTTGCCCAGCCATAGAAACCCTGTTTTTAGACCCCTGTTTCTACAATAAGTTTCCCTCTCGCTGTAGAGACGGAAGGGTGCGACATTGGTCCCCAGTGAAGATCACCTTCCTAATCTAGTAATTACTTAGCACGAAATCGCTCCAAAAATGCCAAGACAGCAGATTCATGCCAAGCTATTGGCCAGCCACCAGTAATATGCTCCCAATCGGGTAATTATGTACTAAAGTACTTCCTAATCGGGTAATTATTGGTGTGGAAGTGCGACATTCGGTCAGCCTCTCACCAAAAACCCAACTTTTAAAAATTCAATATCTCAATAACCACAACAGATAAAATTAATTGGGCTCTGTTACAGTGTCATCTATCTCCTTCTCTATCACTCTACAGAGCTATTTTAATTTTAATGTGTTGTGGTGGTTGGCCATTAGGCCTCGAAGTTCGGCAACTTTGACGCTCCGGCTCAAGGTGTCCCCAACCATATAGCGAGAGGTAGATTTATTGTAGAAACAGGGGTCTAAAAACAGGTTTCTATGGCTGGGCAAGCCAATAGAACTCTTCCCATACTCTACAATAATACTACCGCAAGCTTGATATAACATCATGGCAACTGCAGGTCTGCTTAACTATCAATAATAGTTGTAGAGATTAACCAGGTTCAGATTTTTTTGAGAACTACCTAGACCTCGATACATCTATAGATCTACATATCGTAGCTAAAAACTTTTCATATTGATCTTATTCATTAATTAAGCTATTGCAAAATTGTATATACTTGACTTTAATAGGAAATACATTCATCGGTGAGAGATTGATTATCAAAATAAGTAAAAGCTAAACACATACATGTATCCTTATCAAACATTACTAGCGCCAGAATTAGAAGGCTTCTTAATGTCCCGCTTTTTTTTCCACGCTTTCACGGCGAAAACAAGGTTATCCAAAACCATTATGACAAACAAAGCCACTAGAGTTACTGTACTACCTGCAACTGCCAATACTACAGCAACTCCGAACCAATACGCAGACATATGGAGAGGGTGGTTCTCTTCCGCATTATATGTTGTAAGGGAAGTCTGCAATGCTGATAATACGATACTGAAGTATGCAAATACCAAAGCCATCCATCCAAAATTCGTCCTAAAGAATGTTTCATAACTAGTATAACCGTAATAAAAGCCACGAGCTTCCTTTATTCTGAATTTGTAAATCAAGTTGAGACGTTGTATGCGTAGCTCTCCAAACTTGTACCGTGAATTTAGCCGCAATTGGCCCTCATGATCGCAGATGTACTTGTCAACTTCTGCGGAGTATTTACGCCAATCATCCCAAGTTAGCTTTTCTGGGATGAGCATTCCTGCTTGGGCTATTCGAAAGTCGCTCTCGTGAACTATCAGCTGGGTATAGGACTTGAGGAACCCGCAAGCATTGGCATGTAGTGTCCATTTTTCGTCTTTCATGTTGGTGGTAGAACACAGATTTGCGACGAAGAAATCATGGTCTAGAAGAAATTTAGGGAGAGGTTTGATGTACATTCGAGTCTTCTGCCAGCAAAGATGTAGCTCAACTGATTCGGTGATTATTATCTCGCGTTCCGTTACGATTTGATGGTGGAGGGGTCGCACTTTTCCGGACCCGGCGAGCCATAGATACTTTGAGATCTTATTGAGACGTGAAACAGAGAGTTCGTCTGTGAGAAAGTCCTTTATTGTTTTGTGAATAGGGCGTAGGATGAGCGCTTCAGTTTCGAGACTTGAAACTTTGGAATTAAATGGGCAGTCTAGTTGCCCGGACTTTGCTGAACGTTAGACATGCATAGCTCTGATCGATAGTAATTGAAAAGTCACACGAAAGAATCCGCAAACTTACTTGATAAGGACTTATCGATGCTTGTTTGGACGAATTGCCGACAGAAGATGTAATTGGAGAAGATAGATTCATTTTAGTAAATATATGTGCAGAGCTGAATATACGGGTAAAAATGCTGGTATACGGTATGAACCGGCTACTAACAGTAGATATAGATCCAAGGTGTCAATACTCGGAGCTTTATATGAATATTCTAACTCAATACATCACTACACACACACTATTCAATATAGTGTACAAAATCCCCTATTTACCAGTGACTCGACATAATATTATTAACGCATCGGCTACATGTATGTAGATATATTTAGCGGTGGCTTCTCCATTTTCTCTGCATGAGGGTGAGAGGTAATGAGGATAGGTTGATTTGAGATGTACATGTGGAATAATTGCGGGCCTTAAGCTTACTATCGCCGAGTTTCGGACGAGGGGACGGATGGGGTCATAGTGGATCCAGCTACTGGTTGCTTTGGTTTGGGGAGTTGATTCAGCATATGCGCATATATACGTGATCATGAGTAAGGCTTAAGGGTGGAAAAGCAACTTTGCAAGGCTGGTGGCTCTAGCTCTAGCTCTGTTACTGATCGCAGAGTGATCGGCCATGTGACTCTGTTTCACAGCTTGTCTTCAAAACATTGGCCAATTCACGCGCAGCTGATAAAGGCCAGGGTGGCGGCATAAGACCAGGGTTAGCTCTCGAGTATCTATATCTCGTCGACCATCAATGCATCAAATAAAACGCACATATGGATATTCCTCTTCTGATAACGAATACCATATGTATACTACATGTATCTTGTGTTTCTCGAATGAGACATCCACGGCCGGGAGAGCGAACCGTGGTAACGTACAAGGTACACGCATTTTAGAAATACTAGTACTAATTATACATGTAACTACTACGGGTGTGCCACCTCGCGACCGCGAGGTCTTGCTCCACCTACCGGTCCAGTAGTTAATTAATATTGCCCTTAGCCATTCCGTGGCCAGCTCCCAGTACCGTTGCCCAGCTCCCACTGTTGGCCATAGCCAGCTCTCATTAGTGCTCATTGCCAGCTCCCGCAAATATCCACCTCCCCCATAGTGATCCAGTTCCCTCAGTTAATAATAGGTTACCAATTCCCATACCGACCCCAATTAATTCCAACTCCAGTTGATGTCACCTCCAGTTAATTCCACCTCCAATGTCATCCTGTTAGTGAGTTCGGCATGCCAGTGTGGGTGGGCTGGTTGCTATGTGGGATAGGGTTCCTCACTCTTGACCATAAATTATAAAACGAAGAACAAAGATTATGAACATACTCTAGACCTTGGGCTTTGGCTTCAGTTACCACATAGCATTCGAGTGTATATTTAGAGCCGCAGAGGTTCTTTTATCAAGTACCGGGGGTTATGGGTTAGTCTGAAGAACTTTTTTTTGGCATATGATTGGTTGAAGCTGCAGAAAATGGTTCTTGGCGCCAGAAAAAGTACTTGAATAGGCTGCCCCCCATATTTTGCAACGCAACCTCCGAGACCGCAATTTGATTTGCACCCAACTTCATCAGAAAACACTCTCCACAAGGTCTTATGAGCTCAGAATATCATCGGGAAACTGGGAGCCAGCGCTATTCTGCAGTTATTTTTTTGTATTTTAGCAAAATATTTAGATTTTTGAGTGGAGATATATGAAAGTTCTTCAGACTTTTTTCCCCCATACTAGTTTGGTGCACTAAGGCCGGTGTGATTGATGGTAATTGGTTGTGTTCTATAAAACCCCTGCATTTTCAACCAATGAAGCAGAGTTCTTCAGATTAATGGTGAACACCCGGTACATTATATCCTTCGAAATTCCGTTCCATCAATACCAGTAATTCAACAACCAATTGAATTTACAGCGAGTGTCCAAATCGAAGGAACCCAATATCAGAACTATATATGCAGATCCATAACGTGGCCAGTGATATATCGATAGGGGTGAATACAACACAGCGATATGAAAAAGCAAGGGACTGATACGCTGCATTGAATTGAATTTGAGATAGTGGCTGTGAAGAGACTATATTGCATAGATAATCCTAGAAATATGCGACCCAGCCAATCTTGTTTCTCCAGTCAATTGGTTATTGGGTCCGTAAGGTTGGTTTGGCGGGTGACAACGAGTTCAGCGCAAGACATATTGCGCACTGCGCACAGCATCACATGTTGAAAATCATTTTATAGTTGGAAACCTGGCTCATAAGCTTAAGTGCAACATCCACATGATCGCGGCTTCTTATGTGTTGATGTCTAGTATCGGTAGTTCTAGGCTATAGGACATTTTGAGCATAGCCAACAAAACAAAATATGGCTGCACCTGATACGGAGTGGATTGGGGGGTAAATGGTCAAATACTTGTTTAGTATGAGAATATAGAGCATGATATCGATCTCGGCGCGTACAGCGACCGGAATGATCTATGGAAAAACAGGGGGGGTGAAATTGTATGGCGAAATATCTGTGCACCATATAACTATTTTTTCCATAGATCATTCCTATCGCTGTACGGGAATGTCCGAGTTACAATTGGTAGGTCGACGGGGTGAGCTAAAGCATATACGCAATTGTAATGAGCTGATGAGAAGAAAGCCCGCGATCCTCTCCTGGATACGGTCTTATCAATTTGCTTTTCAGCAGCTTTTAGGACAATGGCTATGGTACATCATGTAATATTAAAGTGCAATGGCGGGATATATCCTAAGTTGTCAGTGGCTTTAATGAAAATTGGAAAGGGCAAAACCCATGCGTGGGTGCGCTGGGTCCGATTATCTCGTATGGATGACTCATGTAATGATTAGCTCAATAGCAACCTAGATATTGGTGATGAATTTCAGCCTTCCCATATAAGAGTTAATATTACTTACACAGAGCACTGGGGCCAGTTTTTACGTGGCGAAGGACACCAAGTCTCGGTCAGTAGGGATCTCGCTGAGTAGGGAAACGGAGTACTTCATTCGTTACAAGATAGAGTGGGAGATAGAGAGAAAAAGAGGTCAGGCCTGAAACCATTGCATTTGATTGATTACACACCACATTGGGATACACTCCAATCGGTCTCCATCATGACCCGGACTAAGAAAGCGCGTAGAAGCCAAGCACATATTGCTTTTGTGGGTATCTCAATTGACACCGAGCCATGAGCTGCAGCTGGACGGAGAGAACTTCAGCTTTTGGAACGTATTGATTGATTGATTCATCATTAAGTAATAGTTATTATGGAGAGGAAAGATATTGAATTTGTGACCTGTATTTCGAAAATGTTGCTCATTTTCACCATATGAATACTTATTTGCTTTGCTATTGCGCGGGGTAAGGCATGTGACTATGAAAAGAGGGCTCGCGATCTATCGCACCTTGTCAGGGACAGTATCAATACTCTATCACCTTAGAGCTATCGATCAGTCAGTATGTCAGAACTCCAGAAAGAGAGGGGTAAATTCAGGTCACAAAGCTTAAGGCCACGGCTAGACCTATGGGGCAGAACCTTTAATAGTAAAACACGAATCAGTAGTATTGATTCCAAGCGCGGCAAAAATGAAGGAAGGATCAAATCATCCAAGGAGGAATCATCCGCTTCTGGATATTTTAATCAAAAGCTCGGGATATGCCGTGTGCTTAAGCTAGTCCTGGGTGCTCTCCACGTGACTCGGCTCTCGGGCCTCTTGAGAATTCGAGTGAGTGAGTATGAGCCAAATTCTAACATAATTTCTTTGGTAGCAAAGCATTTACCTACTGCGCGGTCGTTTAGGTTAAATTCGCTGTGGCCGCATCTTGAGTGTCTACATGTAGTTATGAATAAGGAATCTTTCCGAGTAACATGTCGTCAGTTCCTCATCTCTATGAAACCGTGATTCCTGACTAGGCAATTTTCGGACTACTCTCGAGAGCAAAAAAAAAAAAAAAAGAAAAACCAAGCTCCGACCGACTGGGACAGGGAACTTGAGGCCGTCAGAGTTTGTAAGACGCCATGTCGTGGAGAGTATTGAGGTAGTAGTAGTTATACTGTCATGGAACAGAATTCTGCCCTTCTCGTAAAGACAAGTATCATTAGTCATTGTATATTAGTAACTCTCTCATTATCGAGGATGATGAGAGACATACTGAATCATAATACCATTATACACCGTTCATCAGATCAGATAGAGTGACTTAGTGTCGTTTGGGGCAAAGTTCAAATCCCTTGATCTATCACATATGCGTGCTGTGCGAATTGGGCAACGCCTGTATTATTGAACATTGTACACTACTCTGCTGTATCTAAGCGCCTTGGCACTTAGCTGTCAGCTAGGAGCGTGGGTGAGATTATCCATAGTTAGCAGCATCCACCTGTCCTAGCAGTTGATAGAAACTTATGCTTCATACTTATGTGCCTTGCGAACCCACGCAATAATACGTATGCCCGGTGCTGATAATTTCAACCCGAACCCCCCCGGAGTGCTGTAGGACACACTGGCCAAAGCCAGTTATCTGAAGCCCACTATGGAGGTCAAATAGGTGTATAACATCTCTCCGCACAGCCTCCGCCTCCGCCTGCCCATTGGCGACGAAATTCAGTTTTGTACCCAAGGGTGAGTGACCCCTAACCCTGAGCGTGAGTTCTTGGCATATGCGAGTGATGCTGTATGATCTCAGTTAGAGCAGACTTTGGCAAAGCTGCTGGGTCAGTCCAATCCACGTGCTCTGCGGTTCGATGGGAACATTTCTCTATAGTAGGAGGAAGGTGGACGGTGTTTGAAGTTCTACTGTGTCCTTGCGTCGTGGTCACAGGCCGAGTGACATCGAGCCGACTAGTGGCCCCGCACTGCGCATGTCCGGCGTTCTGAAGTTCGATTAGTGGAGTTCTAAGGATGTAACCTATAGCTTGGTATATGTTAGGGAGAAGGCTGTTTGTATCTCTAGCTCTTGTAGATTTTAGGGAAATCTGGGTGAGCTGCTTCGGCAAAGAGGTCGTACTAGCTCGGGACCTTTGGTGTGACTCTGAATGTATATGTATGTACTCAATAAAGCTCGTGTGTTTGGATTAAAAAGTGTTCGGGTCGGAAGGGTGCTCGGGTTGGGAGGGTGTTTGGATGTCTTCTGCATCTTGTGTGGGCAAATGTTTGGCTGTGCTACGCCTATCCCTGGATTCTTGATCGTATTGAATATATTGATGTGGTGCTCGTTTATAATATCTATACGTTTTGAATCAGCCTTTATATCGCTCATTGTACGGCGGAAACACAAGAAAGGGTCTAGACCCCGACAAGTCGTAGTATTACCAACACGTAGATTCCATGTGCCTAAATGAGGATCCAGATGAGGTTTGTATGTACTGACATAGATTGAGGTGTTTGGGTCTCACGACTCCTTCTCTGTATTCCCTGGCCTAGTAGTAAAACTTATAATTAAAGATCGTTTGGCCGCTGGCCCAGCTGGTCTTCTTTGACCTGAGTAACCTTGCCGTCTAAGCGGCGATGTCACTGTAGTACACCGACAGAGTACGGCGTTCTAGGCAGTCGGAGAGCTACGTTCTAGCCAGCCTTTTCAGCATCCTGTATATGAGGGATCGATCTACATGTGTTGATACAGGCCGAATCAGCAGAGATCGGTGTCCCGATGAATCAACGTTAGAGCAAAGCAGTCGTGGTAGGGGCATATAGTCAGACGTTGGAGTTCTGTGGCGCTAGTCTCCAGTTTAAAGTTTGTCTGCCGCATCAGGGTCGTTGCCCGCGAGTTATATATGTGGTGCTTCTCTGGCACAAAATGCGTGTCACACATGGGACGACTCCATCCCACCCTCTGGCCCTACAATTCAATATTAACAATCTTTAAACAGGGGTCATAATAAATGGGTTCCTCAACCTCGATTCTTTATGTCCGTTTCTTCTTTCTCACAGCGAGACCAACAGCGAGGAGCCGCAGATCAAGCGAGGAGGATAAGAGCCGGATACACCCCGATACCACTGCACCACACAAGTTCATACAGCCAGATTATTATTACAAAATTCCCTTCTTTGACTACTGCCGCATCCACACTATCCGCATACATCAACGGCCATGGGTCACCTGGATCATTGCCTACCTCCGCCGTATCATCCTCCAATTCCTTCACCAGAGAACCAAGTTCGATGCTCTTACGGGATTCAAGGTGCTTCCGGTAACACTTATCACCCTGGGAACGTATGTTCTCATCTGGGGCTACATGCTGCGTCTCGATGGCACCGTCCCCGACGTCGCATCCCTGACGGAACAGGATTCATGGGGTGTGAGCGTGGAGAAGGCATATGCAGGTCTGGTGGCTTTGACAAAAAGGTCGCATTCGTACAATAGCGCGCAAATTGATGTTGTTGGGAGGTGGCTAGCTGAGAGGTTGGAGCAGATCATTGGGGAGGAGGAGGAGGGGGTGGAACTGTTCTGTGATGACGTGACTGGTGTAGGGATGAATGCGACATGGGTGAGACCGTCGGGTGGGGTTACGGTTCGTGTTTCACATCATTTGGTTGGTCTACCGGTGCAATTGCAGGTCTAATGTTCTGTCTGTGGTTGTGTTACAGGAACTACGGAGCGCTGTCCTAGAAGCGAAGGACAGTAAGGAATACGAGTGACGGGTTGTGATGCGAGGACGGTCGGGTAACGAAAGGACAAGCATAGAAAGGTATCGGGTAGTGTGGGGGCACACGGTGTTACCACACTAGTACTATACTATTATGACGGCACGCTTACTATTGGGTGTCTCACCCGGAATAGAATAGAAAGCGGGGCTTACGGCTGTAGGCTGTTCTACTTAGGGAAGTAGGTCTAGGATAATAGTATGGTACAGCCCGATGACTGGCAATTGCAAGGTTCATGGTTACGTGTCGGAATTAGAATGGAGGACGGAACTATGCGGGGGCGCTTTTCTATCTGGGTTATCTTCGGGAACGTTATCTTATTCTATTATCGTTGTATCAGTTAGTATTAGGAAGCGGGCCTTGGCATAGGTTCCAACATGTATAAATAGGGCAGGATTCTGCGAAGACTTGAGGGTATCATCAACCAACAAGTCAAGGGAATCCGGTTTACAATATCATCAGTTTAAACGCTACAGAATTATCGCTTAGCACTGGCTATTTCCCCAAACAGGTTGGGGTGTAAAGGTCTACTTTGAAGGGAGGAATATCATGGTGTATATTCATGGCACCGACAGGGGTTTATCACCTGCGCTTGTGAATGCGCACTACGACAGTGTTTCTACATCACATGGTTTGCACTCCTCCCCGTGAAGATAAGATTGAACCAAGTCTATGGGTTGACATACCTTAAAATATAGGCGTGAGTGACGACGGAGTTGGAGTGGCGACAATACTCCAACTGATTAAATCCTTCACAAAAAGAGGCAGCAGACCCTAGAGGGGGCTCATACTGTTGATGAACTGCGGAGAGGAGGACGGCTTGGTAGGTAATAAATGGATTGGTTATCCTTGTGCTGAGCACTAATTATGCATGTGTGTGTGTTGCTAGAACGGCGCAAGAGCATTCGGAACTCATAGCTTATCTAGGCTTTCGCGTAAGTCTCTCTTTCGCCTACTACACGGAAGTTGAGCCTACGATCCTACGAGGCTATATTAATAGTCTAAACCTTTAATTCTCCCCAGGCCCCATATTAAACAAAAAAAAAAAAAAATCCCCCGGGCCCCGCTGCCATGCATAGATCACGAGTGATAATCCGTGACTTGATAATAGCTACCACATACAAAATTACTCGTGACCTAATCTATTTTGGACCTACACATTTGTATTTGCACTATCTACAAACAGCGCTAACATTAGACCACGCTCCTCGGTAGACATCTTCTTAAACCTTGAAGGCGGTGGTACCGGTGGCCGGGCGATACTTTTCCCCGCGAATGACACTGCTGTCAACGGTTTCTATGAGAAGGTTCCAAGGCCACTAGGAAGTACGTTTCTCAGTGATGCGTACAAACTGGGCGCACTCAAGGTTGTCCTCCAATGCCAGCTATTCTCAATCTCGGAGTGGGATCGTATGTTTATTTTTGACGCGCTTTAGGAGCGCAACAGATTACGATATCTTCAGAGACGCTCTTCATATGAGACGTCTTGATGTTGCATTTTACACGCATCGGAGTCGCTACCACACACCAGATGATGATATGAGATATGGTAATTTCCTTGCTTACTCTCCCCGCATACTATCGGTTACTGACTCACAGAAGCTAGTAAAAGATCAATATCTCATATGCTCCTCACTGCCCTGTACACAGTCAATACAATGACCGCCGATACCAGTCTCGACTATAACGAAAATCTGCCGGGAAAGCCTGCGGTTTATTTTGACTGTAAATATCTATATTTATTATCTTTTTGTCGTATATGACTTGAATAACTGTTGATAGTCTTTAATCGTATCTGGACGTTTTACGAGGTGAATACACTCTTTGCCTGGTCTTTGACACTGCTTATCGTCCCAGCGATCACACTAAGTTTAGCAATCTCTTGCCTTGGTGAATTCCCCGGCTGGAAGAAGGATATACGCCGTTTCCCTCTTGCCTTTTCCTTGGCGAGCGCATCTACAGTTACAGTTGCGATGAGGATACACGCTGCGAACCCGCTGATTATGTTCTCGTGTCTGAAGACGGTGTGGGCAACTCTACTGAGTACTTGGTATCTTGTGGCTTGGGGTGTGATAAAACGTGCTGATCTTAGAAATCCCACCGCGTTAGCAAGAGGTTGGGCTTTTGCAGAGGTGTGGGTTTTCATGTGGCTTATGATGCTTGGAGTCGCCTATCTTAGTTCTCCCGAAATAGGTGCCGGCGGCGGATATTTCATTATGGCTTTATACATAGGTGCCTTTCTAGAGTGCTGTATTTCGATCTATGAGCTATTTATTGTGCGCGATAAAGGTGGTTTTCAGAATGGCCCACAGGAGGAAGGAATTGATACATCTTCATCCACGAATCTCTGGATTTGCAACAGGCCAATCAACAGACTGTTGCATCAAAAATCAATGGCCAAAACCAGGAAGAACCCTGGAGCGTCCTTATGCCAAATTGGACTTGGTTGGTCCAATTCCTCCTTGCAAGTAGCACTCATTTCTACTGCAGCACTCAAACAAACCCTCTGTGATGGCGGGGATACAAAAAAGCCCTATATATTTCTCGCATTGATATCTATCTTTATTCTGCTTCCCCTCGGGCCTTTCTTGCATCGCATATGGTGTAGTGTCGCTCTACCCGTACTCCTGATCTTTGTAACCACAGGAATTTATAATATCTACGCATTTCCGTTTACCCCCGATGCCAGGTTTAAGACTCATTTCATCCAGAGCATCGATCTCACAACCAACCAAAACCGAGTAAAGCTAACCGGGAATACCGGAATCATCAACAGGGTCCTACCGCACCTGCCCAGCACCTTCAGCACTCCTGTAGAATGCGGTAAAGGGACACCCGGAGCCCCTCTTTCAGGGCTGGTGCATTGTACTTGGGCTGGGCTAGCTCCAAATGTCACAAGCGATACAAGCAAGGTTTCAATATGGGTCAAACACAGCATCGAAAAGCTGGCGGATGGAAAGGCCCGAGTTATGCTCCAGGGGAAGGATACTCGCGCCTGTAAACTATTCTTTGGTAAAATGAATGTCACGAGTATTGATATCCTCGACTCGCCATCCAGGGCTTTTGGCTCACCTCTTCCGACATCGGGAACAAATCAGCTACGACTATGGAGTCGAGAGCCTGGTCGAATCTGGCGAGTTGAGTTGGCATGGGGCGGATCGACAGATAAAGAGGATGAGAAGGTTGAAGTCTTGAAGAACGAGAAGGAGTTGAAACGTGCAGTGGATGTTGCGGGGAAGTTGGAGGGAAGGATCGTATGCTTGTGGAGCGATACGAACGGGGATGAGATTCCGGCATTCAATGAGGTGGTAACGTACTTGCCACCCTGGGCAACAGTTCTGAAAGCTGGTTAGTATCTTATTTCTTCTCTTGGGCGTGTTTGTCGGTCGCTGACATTCATTGGTGGTAGATCATGGACTTGCTGAGGGGACGGTGCCATTTGTTATTTAGCATGTGGTGGTAGGGATGGTGTAGCTGTCGTCGAGGTTTTGAATTGTAAGGTCAGCTTAGCGCTTGATTTGGAGCTTGGTTAATTAGTGTTAGCTGCATAATCAGAACTGATTCTGAATTCTTGTCGTAAGAAAAACCTGATGTTCACCTGATGTTTTTTTTTTTTTTTTTTTTTTTTTTGGTTCGTTGGTTGCATTCAACCATACGGTTATGGCAATACCGCACAAGACCCCTGAACCTCTCCTCTGCCTAGTCCACCACCCTCTCACGATTGAATAATATATCAGAAGCGGACGAAAACAAAACAAATTTGAACTGAAGTTGCAGAATAATTAAGGCATTACACAATTCGCAGATTGAGTCGCCAGTCTCCAACTGTCGATGGATAGGATAAAACCAGTAGTTTTAAACTACCCAAACATATCCACCCGTATCTGCCTTGCTATGTAAGGAGTAGTCCAGCTTTCGTGTCTTACTAATCATAAGAGTGAGCCTTCATGATTCACTCGATCACGTGCACAACAATCCAAGTTCATCACCATCCAAGTTCATCACTATCCAAGTTCATCACCTGCCACGTCCGTACAGGGGAGGTTTGGCGACTCCCCTAATTTAATGTGACTCTTTCCCGGCCTCCTAGTCCGCCTATGACCCCATGGGAATTAATTAGGCGTCGTGGTATACGTATGGCATATCTGGCTAGGAGGGTATGCCGTTGTGGACCCTGGATGTAGGGTTCACAGGGTGCGTGGAAGCTTGAGAGCGGGTTATTGTATAATGACATCGTCAGAACTTTACGGAGGACTAGTTGATTATAAAAGCGGCGTTGTGGCTGATGTGGTGGCCTCGTTAGACTCGGGCTGCGGGGGTGACGGGGAGCTAGAGAGAGACAGCTTCTTGTAGTCTTTGTGGTGGCAGTGGGGGAGGGGGGTGTTTGTATCTATTTTGACTGGAAATTTTATGGGTTAGGCGTTGTTCTGTGTTGGGTATAATTGCAAGTCTTGAGATTGGCAATGGATATTGATTTGTTACTCGTTGCCTAGAGAGATGGCGGGTCTGTACTTCCGATTTGCTGCACCATCTGCTGTCAGTTATATTTTCCGTGGCGTGCTGTGTGTCGACGGTTGTGGTTTTTGGGGGGGGGGGGGAGTTGCTCCTAAATGAGCTATAGAATCATCATTTATTGCTTCCGACTAGAGAAAGTATGTAGGAGAAGTAAAGTAATTGATCGTGTTGATTGTTCTAGCTAAGGGGGAATGCCCCGTATTTATACTAATGAAAGGTAGTACAAAAGAAATACAATGAGTCATGGACGTGTGAGTAATAGAATGACTAATAGGAAAGTGAGTCATACGCCAATGACAAATACTATAATGAAATGATGAGAATCTTCCAGAACTATGAAACGTGCCGAGCGCCCTATTTCAAGACCGACTTCACTTCAGGCGCCCAGCAAATCTTCTGACTGAACCTGCCTTTAACTTTATGTTTGGGGCTCTTTAATTAATTGGCCTTAAGTTGATGGCCATGGAATGGGTATAGGCATACGCGCTGGAATTTTCGCTAGTAGAATTCTTTCCGGTTAGTGCAAAATGAAGGATTAGAGCTACCTAAGTGTGTAGAATTTTACTAGAAATCACAAATAGCAAGCCAGAACGCTGATTGGCCTAGCTCTACCCCTTCTCTCATAGGCCAATTTCGCATATATATCAGAGTCGTCTGAATTCTCAAGCGGCATTTGAAAGACTGCAGCTGCTCCGTACTCAAATACCTAAGTGATGGTATAACTTACACTGTGGGTAGGTGAGAATGCCATGACCCTACTAGTAGCAAGCCACTCACGTGGGAGGGCTAGGTGCGAGCCTATCACACCATTATGTATGATAACTACCATGTACGACTTACATACAATCATCACCAATGATGCACTGCCATCATCAATTACCTTTCCGTCACTCACTTAATTACATATACAGTCAATAAAATAAAATAGGGGGGCATAGATACAAATGAGGGGTCGAAAGCCGCGCAGCAGCTTGAGAGCTTGACTCCGACGAGTTGCGGCCTGTAATTAACCTTTGGGCCAGCTCTACTTCAGGGTTACTAGTAAGAAGGCATATCCGCTTAGTATTCACTTAGTTATCCTTGAGTAACCTGTTGTTTTTGATAATATCTGCTTCGTTGTTTCTTTGCTTTCGTGAAAACCTGTTCATACTAGACGTGTCTTTGTCACGTCAGTGTTCCGGGCCATTCGTGGATATGACAGATTCGTGAATGGACTTGACAAATCCGCGAACAGACTTGAGGTATTCGTGGATGGACTCCTAGGCTCATATATCTGTGACAGGACCAGTCTATTCACGAACAGCCTGGGGAAACTGTTGTTTTAATATCAACACCTGATAACTAATAATGATTTATATTAACCCCGATGACTACTACAATCACCAGAGACCTCTAAAAAAGACTAGCGACCCTAAATATCGAATCTGGAATAATAATTAGCACCTTCAAGATCTTTAGCGAGCTTTAGTGACACCCTGTGGCCTCTATCAGCCTCAGGCACCTTTGCAAGCTCTTATTTGGGCCCTATGACCTCTAGTAAAGCCATATGGCCTCTGATAGAGCCCAGGCAATTTGGATATTGGTTCCAAGAGTCAATTTCACTACCTTTAGCCCAGTCCTTTCGCCAACGGACCGGTCCTGTCCCGGGTGTACGGAGAAAGCAGTCCATTTGTTCCGGGCCACTGGCGGATACTTGGAATTCGTGAATGGGCTGCTTTCTCCGTACACCCGGGACCGGACCGGTCCGTTGGCGAATAGACTGGGCAAAAGGTAGTGTGTAACGGCAATATTATATTTCGGCTAAGGTGATAGATTGGGTTGTGAAGAGAAGGAATCGCGCAGTTGGACTATGATTTGTAATGGGTTTTCTGTTATGTTCTTTCGGTTTCCGTTACGCAAGATATTAGTCATCAACGGACTAGGAGTTGGATATATAAGGGGGTGTTGTCTCGTGCCTTTTCATGTTTTCCTTCCTTTCCTCTTCTCTTCACGGAATCTCTTGTATCTACTCGCGCCCGACCGCGCGGGTGACAGGACCCCCTCCCGTTTCGACATCCTGATTCTCGAATTGCTTCAGGCCCTGAGCGAGACCTCCCCCTATCTACCGAGTTGAAGCCTTTCACTAGGAGCCGTCCTTCATCTTACCCCTCCTCAAACCCGTCGGCGCCCTGTTTGGGGAAATAGTCAGTGCTAAGCGATAATTCTGTAGCGTTTAAACTGATGATATTGTAAACCGGATTCCCTTGACTTGATGGTTGATGATACCCTCAAGTCTTCGCAGAATCAAGCCCTATTTATACATGTTGGAACCTATGCCAAGGCCCGCTTTCTAATACTAACTGACACAACGATAATAGAATAAGATAATGCTCCCGAAGATAACCCAGATAGAAAAGCGCCCCCGCATAGTTCCGTCCTCCATTCTAATTCCGACACGTAACCATGAACCTTGCAATTGCCAGTCATCGGGCTGTACCATACTATTATCCTAGACCTACTTTCCTAAGTAGAACAGCCTACAGCCGTAAGCCCCGCTTCCTATTCTATTCCGGGTGAGACACCCAATAGTAAGTGTGCCGTCATAATAGTATAACACTAGTGTGGTAACACCGCGTGCTCCCACACTACCCGATACCTTTCTATGCTTGTCCTTTCGTTACCCGACCGTCCTCGCATCACAACCCGTCACTCGTATTTCTCATTGTCCTAAGCCTTTTAGAACAGTGTTCCGTAGTTCCTGTAACACTACTCCCCCTTCCTAGACGTCGCCCTCGACCGTTAAAACCCTTTCTACGATAAAACCCTGTGGGAAAAGTCATAGAGTAGGGAAAGGTATCGAGCTTAGTCTCGCCTGTTCCCTTGTCGTTTATGAGCCCGGTCATTATCGATCGCTGGGCCCTGACTTCGCGTATGGGGTCGTATGTTCGAGGTTGGCTGGAAGTTCTCGTCTGCCAATGACTCCTGTGGCTCGGGTGTTGCCAGTCGCTTTCGTGTATTCTGTTTCCTGGTAGGATCCGGGTCCTCGCGATAAGGTCGCAGCAGCATCTCGTGAAAGACGTCGTGAACCTTCCATTCTACCGGAAGTTCGAGACGGTAAGCCCGATTGCCCACCACTGCTGAAATCGTAAAGGGCCCTGTGAATTTATCCGACCACTTGGAGTATCCTCCTAGGTTCCGAGTATCCAGTAAGACTTTCTGACCGATAGTGAACCGCTGTGCTGCTGGTCCTGGCTTTGACGCCATCCTGTCGAAAGTTTTCTGTAGCGTATCTCTCGCTAACTCGTGAGCCGTGATGATCTCGTCCAAGTAGTTGTTTCCGTTGGCATCTAATCGTTCGATCTCTGCATCCGTAGGCCAGTCCGTTCGTAGGTGGAAGCCATAGTTGCAGTAGAACGGTGATTGCCCAGTCGACGTATGCTTCGCATTGTTGTAGGCGTATTCGCAGATGGGTAACAGGTCCTTCCATTTCTTGCCTGTTCCTGCCGTATATGCTCGAATATAACCTTCCATGTGTTGGTTGGTTCGTTCTGTCTGGCCGTCGGTTTGCGGGTGGAATGAAGTAGAGAGTCTCCTACGAACCCCCAATCTTTCCGTGATTGCTGTCCAGAATGCTGACACGAACTGTGTTCCTCTATCAGAGACGATGCTCCTAGGAAGTCCGTGGAAACGCCAGATGTCTTTGACAAATGCGTTAGCGGTCTGCTCCGCGTTGATCCCCGTCATTGGAATGAAGTGAGCCATCTTCGTAAAACGGTCCACGACTATCAATACGTTACGGAATCCTGATTTCTCCTTGGGCATTTCTACTACGAAATCCATTGAGATATCAGTCCAAGGTGTGGTGGTTAATTCTAGGGGTTGAGGGAGTGACAAGTGTCTCCGACGTTGCTTGGCTCTCTGGCATACATCACAAGTCTTGACGAAGTTGGCTACAT